AATGGTTTAAAATATTGGCGATGTTAGGTTTTTTTTTTTTTTTTGGCGGGGGGGGGGGTTGTAAGACAGCTTTTATGTCTACGTTGTTCCCACATCGCCCAATGCCCATCCTTAGTGGAAAGAAAATGGCCGTTCCTTGATTGTGCTCACTGTCGTGTGTGTCCAGCTTTGCTCGCTCAGCCTCCTTTTGTGTGGCCCGCTGCTGCTTACGGCGTCCCTTGACCCCTTATCTTTTCAAAGTCCACGTCGGGCCGCGATGGTTTTTCACCTGCGACTTCCTGTTTGCCGCCCTCCAACACCTATCAGCCTCTTTGTGTGCCTCGTTGGTTGAGCTGCATTCCTGGTGTTCCAAATAATGAGCTCGAAAGGCTTGTAGCGTTTGGAAGATGCTTTACTGACTAATTCTTACCTCTCGCCCCTGTTCACACAATGCCTGATACCCTGCTTCACGCTGTGCGTGCGTGCGTGTGCCCGTTCGAGCCTCGCCCCTGTTCACACAGTGCCCGATACCCTGCTTTACACTCTGCGTGCGTGTGCAAGGAAACCAATGTGAATTGACGATGGCCAGATGTTGTGACGTGTGCTGGAAGGGCTTTAAAGCGCCCGCACTGCAAGACAAAAAAAGAAAAATAATCAGCCGAGCATCAACTTGTACCTGGCAAAACTCACAGGTTAAGGCACAATTTGAAAATGTTGCTTTCGTCAAATCACGATCCTTGAAAATCATCCTGACAAATCAAGTCAAAATTAATTTGTGAATGGCGCAGTCCTCCTACGTATGACTTTTTTTTGGGGGGGGGAGCAAATCCCGCATTTGGAAATGCAAGTGTTGTGACTTGTGCTGTTCTCCATCCAAGGTGCTCTGGCGCCCGTGGCGGGCAAAGGAAGAGGAGCCAAGCGTAAGCAGCAGCAGCAGCAACAACAAGAGGGGGCCACCGCCGGGGCTACCAAGAGGACACGCAGGTACAGTGCGGTGGAAATTTCAGCTTGTGATATTACCGTGAGAAATGGAAGCGTAAAACAAATCACAAAATGCTTTGAAGCGATGAAGGTGACCAAATACGAATTTAGCCCAGGTAGGACTTTTTAAACTGCATTGGGATTAATTCCAGGCTATATTAATTTCTCTCTCATCAATCAAATAAAATGATACCGTAAAAAAAATGTTTGGCATTTCAATTCTATTTTGGTTAAAAGACTACTAAGTGAATATTACGAAATCAATGAGGAAAAAAAAAACATTTTCTGTCAGGCGACCACATACACAAACAGATTTCGAATTGAATCAACTTATTTACGTTCAGGCAAACAAGCCGCAATTGATGACAAACATTCAGCATACTCTTTTCATGACAAACTGGGGGGAAGTCCTGGAAAAAACGCACACCACCCCAAAAAAAAAAAAAATCTGTGAATCTATGGGTGCTGAACCGCAAGTCTGTGCGGGTGGACTGTAGCCCTTTGAATGTGACATGACTTTGGTGCCTCCCCCCCACCGCAGCGACCCGTTGTTCTCGGCACAGCGGCTGCCCCCCCACGGCTACCCTCTGGAGCACCCCTTCAACAAAGACGGCTACCGCTACATCCTGGCCGAGCCGGACCCGCACGCCCCCGACCCCGAGAAGCTGGAGCTGGACTGTTGGGCCGGCAAGCCCATCCCCGGCGACTTGTACCGGGCCTGTCTCTACGAGCGCGTTCTGCTGGCTCTGCACGACCGAGGTCGGCATGCAAACTTCAACTTAGAACAACAACGAAAACTCAATTTTATGTACATGCGGTATGCTTTTGGAATATTCAGTCTGTTTGCTCGGCACCGAGATGCCGACAAAGTACTGCTTTTGTCGAAATGAAACTCTTCAATTCATTTCAACATAGTTGCTCGTCACCGGGATGCCACAGGAAGGTAGCAAAGCACTAGTTTTGTCAAAAATGAAGCTTTTGACCCCACTTTGATGTAGTTCCTTCAAGATGCCAAAGATGGCGGCAAAGCCTGACTTTTTGTCTGAAAGAAGTTCCCCAATTCACTTCAACTCAGTTCCTTTGTCACCAAGATTCCATTCACGATGCGGCCGTGGTTAGCCAAGTTTAAAACCCAGTGACCGAATTTCTACTCGTGTGGTATATTCTTCCTCCTCTTATCCGTTGGGTGCCATGCAGGAACCTGATTTTGTGTACATGTACTCGCCTTGCACGTAGCACCCCAGCTGAAGATCTCCGACGACCGTCTGACGGTGACGGGCGAGAAGGGCTACTCCATGGTGCGCGCCTCCCACGGCGTGCGCAAGGGCTGCTGGTACTTCGAGGTGTCCGTGGAAGACATGCCTCCCGACACGGCCGCCCGGCTCGGGTGGTCCCAACCTCTCGGTGAGTTTTGTCACTCTGCCAACTTCGTGGTGCAACGTGCAATATTTCCTCATTGAAATAAGGCGTGGCAGTTGCGAACGTATTATTTGTGTCTTTGAATTGCGCTGCGGCGTCCCGTGCGCCCTTTCCAGGTAACCTGCAGGCGCCGTTGGGCTACGACAAGTTCAGCTACTCGTGGCGCAGCAAGAAGGGCACCCGCTTCCACCAGTCCATGGGCAAGCACTACTCCACAGGCTACGGCCAAGGGGACACACTGGGCTTCCTCATCGAGCTGCCCGACCGCACCGAGACGGCTCGAGCGCTGCCGGACACCTACAAGGACAAGGTGACGCCCCCAGCCGCAGCGCCCCCCCCCCCGGCCGCCTCACATGCAATCTGACAGCTTGCTGGTGTTGTTTGCAGGCACTCATCAAGTTCAAGAGCTACTTGTACTTTGAGGAGAAGGACTATGTGGACAAAGCCGAGAAGAGCCTGAAGACCATGAGCCCCAGCAGGGTGAGAACAAGCCTGAAACAATTACTCATGGACAGGAGAGAGGTGATGGAATTCAGTCAACCCGGGTCATCACGAGGCAAACACACACAGTGGAACCTCGATTCGGTGGACAGTTAAGTCCGAAGTCTGAAAGTCAAGGTTTCAGTTAGCATGAATGCTGTCTGTCACCGGTAACGAGCTATTTTTGGAGAGGACGTCTAAGCAGGGCACAGGATGATTGGCTGCTTCTGCGGAGTTGAGTAAACGAGCCCTCCCTTTGAAATGAATCGGCCAGTCGTTTTTGTTTTCCTCCTCGTCCTCCGCGAGGAGAGAGCTGAGCTGGTATGCAAAGAGGAGGAGAAAGAGGGAAGGAGCAACAAACGAAAGGCACACTCAAAGCGGCAAGCAAAGAATGTTCACATTCATGTTAAATTCAACATGGTTCTTCTCAAAGCGGCAAGCAAAGAATGTTCATATTCAACATGTTTCTTCATTCACCAAATAGTCTATTTTGTTGAAAAATAAAATAGATTGTTTTCAAAAATAATATTTTGCAGCTGTCATTTTAATCCGGTCATATTTTTGCTCACAGTTATCGTACGCAAAATGTTAGCTTAGCATCTGCCATAGGGACATAGTTGAGGCAGCGTGTTGTCTGGCGTACACGTCAATGATGTGTCATTTCGAAGATAATGAATTCCAAGAAGTTAGGGAAATGATCGGCGTCTATTGAATTTACAGTAAGTCGACGACGGAACCCGGCTAATATTCGGGGTGCGGCGTCTATTATTGGCGAGCCAGTGTCTGTTTGAGGAACTCGCACCGATGCTTCTGATGTATCCGCTGGCAGATGGTGTTCTACAAGAACGGCGCGAGCCAAGGCGTGGCCTTCGAGAACCTGTTTGAAGGAATCTATTTCCCGGCCATCTCCCTCTACAAGAGCTGCACGGTGGGTCCCGCCTCTGCCGCCGCGGCTGCCGGCGCTCACTTTTTATGCGCTTTCTTCCTTCCTTCTTTTCAGTCACGCCTGGGCAAAGTATGGCCCGCTAATTGACATCATTAGGTGTACAATAAGATGTTGTTCTCCTAAAATTGGGTATTTTAAAATGGTTCATTTATCTCAATAAACAGTCGGTTAACTTACTTACGTCGTATGTTATTTTCATAAATATTGCTAAAATAAACAATTGAAATCAATACCGGTATTTTACATTTTTGTAGGTTTTTTTTTTTTTTGGTAAAAACCATAAAATAGTTTTACAAAAACACCAAACATTCTTAAATGGAATACTTGGTTTATTTGTTGTAAATAAAAATGACCGCTCACGTGGTCCTTGCCATGCCTCCAGGTGTCCGTTAACTTCGGGCCACACTTCAAACACGCCCCCAAGGATGTCGCCTTCCAGCCGGTAAGCGCCTCGCCGACGCCCTCGCCGTCGTGCATTTTTCGACGCTTGCTGTTTGTTGGTCCGCAGATGAGCGACATGGGCTGGGGCGCCGTCATCGAGCATACGCTGGCCGATGCACTGTACCACGTGGAGACAGAGGTGGACGGACGCCGCAGCCCGCCCTGGGAGGGATGAGCCGCCCGCATGCATCCGTGGAAACAGGCAGCTTCTTGTCTTTATTTGGACTTTTGACACGCGGTAGCGCACGGGAAGGTCAAGTCAACAGTGGTCAGTGCTCCCCAACCTTAACAATGTCCACTAAAAGTCAATTAGCGGGTTAATTATTATTATTATTATTATTATTATTATTATTATTATTATTATTATTATTATGGAAGAGATTTTCTACCTATCATTATTATGTCACTTGCATAGATTGATGAACAAGGATCCCCTTTTTTGTAGTTAATACTTTTGGACCAATTTAGCGAAATTGGATCATTTCCCACACACTTCCTGGGCGAAGTACATCGGTCGGGCATCAGTGAATTGTATCCCAGTTCAAACTTGAAACAAATGATGTAGAGCAAGCATTCCTCAATTTGGCCAACATTTCACATCATTTTGATGATTGATTGACAGGCGGCACCGCACGACACTCTGAACGCCAGTTTGTGTGTCGCATTTGAGTGCCACGTGGTGCTTCATTCCACTGCACCCGCTGCGTCGTCTCCTGTACACAGTTTCTTCTTTTAACGGACTGAAATAAAAATAGGCTACGTGGATGACATTTGGTTCATCAGACTGTTCTTGTCATCATCGATGACAAACGCTCAATCGGATTTAGGTCTGGAGATATGCTTGGCCAGTCCATTGCCTTTATTAAGCTGCTCAACTGGCTACTTTACATTGTAGCAGACTGACATTTCCTCACTGTTGGACCATGAATCAAATATTTACAAAAATGGAAGGAATGTAGTTGCGAACAATTGTAAATGCCAGCGTCCTCACACTTGGAATCCAAATCATTTATTTGTCAGGGTAATTTTTTGAGACGAGATTGAAATGATATCAAAACGTTTGGGGATCAGTTTGGGTATGCTTAGGATTTTAAAAATGAATATAAGCAATTCATGACAACAAAAAAATGTTTATGCGGCGGGTCTTGGTCCCTAACCCCCGGCGGAACGGGGAGGGTTCACTGTACAGTACATTTACAAAACAGAAACCGCACACAAGCGTTTGATTGGCAGTCTTCAGTTCGGGGCAGACAGAATTCCCGACGTGATGAAGTTGTTGGGCAGGGGGCTCCGTTGCCCGTCCTCGTTCGCCTCAGGGGGGTGCTGTGGGGCCAGAGCGCACAGTTTAGCATGGACGCGACGAAGCAGCGTGGTACCAATCTGCTTGTAATGTTTTCAAATTGACACAGGAACACCATTGCTGATCTTGATAAGACACTGTTACAGAAATTGAGAAGGAGTTTGGGACACTTTTGGACAATTAAACACGCTCTGGGTCCAACAGATTTGGAGATGCTAATTCTCGTGCCAACCGCTTTACATTTGGCTGGGAACAGCTTCAGGAGCGTTGGAGATCACGGGCTTGTTGAAGCCAACAAAACCTCACCCCATCTCGCAAAAAGCAGAGATGCATGACTGAGGCCACCAAATTGGACCCCACTCAACACCTGAGCTGCGCCTAGAAATTCTGTCCACAAAAGTGACAAAGGGCAGCCTTGGCCGGGTCCAACCCTACAATAGTTCAACAATACAAATCGTTCATTTTTGATTCAATATGACTGATTTAAAAAAAAAAAAACTAAACATGAACTCACAAATCTGCGGAAGATCTTGTTGAACAGGCCGTTCTTTGGACTTTCGGGCGCTTGCGTGCACTGCAGGTCTTGAGGTCGAGAACCGTCGGGTCCAAAAACGTTGAGCTCATTGAAGCAGCCCGTCTCAATGAGCTGCAGGAGAAAAGCGAAAACAAAGAGGAAACTTTAGGCGGGGCTGGACTGATTGCTATGTTGCTCGCGAGTCAAGGGTGACTGGCCTCGTTCTGCCAGGTGATGGGAACGCTTCCCGTGTTGAATTTGGCATAGAAGCTGCTGTCGTCTTGGTTGAGGGTGACGCCCCTCACGGAAGCAAACTCCTCGATGTCCTGAACGTCGCTGCAGTAAACCAGCCTGGGCTGCACAGCGGCGCAAACGGACGCGGTCACAACTGCGCAACAAACTCAAACGATTTAAAAAAAACATTGTGGCTCACGTCAGGTTTAAAGGGCGCCCCCAGAAGCCCCGCCTCCAGCATGCGGAAGTTGATTTCCTTGAAGAAAGGATGTGCCTGAACGTCTCGGCCTCCTGACGTCTGGCAGCCCAGCCTCCTTTTGGGGTCTTTGACCAGCAGCTTTTGACAAGACATCAAAGTCAACATCTTGTGTTTCATCTGTGATGATTCAGTCATTCAGGTCATGGCAACCCACAAATGTTGAGTGGGGGCAACTGGACTTTTTGATTGTTTCACCTTGAATCCAAATATTGTCACTGACAACAACGTCCTGACATCACTCCCCCAAAGATTTTGGGGGAAAATGGCTGCTAATGTGTCATTTTGCCACTGGACAGAGCAACCGGTTGTCAGTCACGCTGAACAACCAACCAGTTGCTCAACCAACTGACCAACAAACTAATTATTTGACTTATCAATCAAATTAAGCAACCAGTCATTTGAACATCCTATCAAACCATTTGACCAACCAATTGGACAAAACCAACCAATCAACTCACCAACCGTCCTCTCAATTAACTAATCAACTAACTAGTTGGGTAATTTGAATGGTTGGTTAGTTGAGTGGCCGGTTGGTTAGTTGAGTGATCAATTGGTTGGTTGGTTTCGTGGGCTGGTTAGTCGCATGGTTGGTTAGTTGATTGGTTGGCGGATCATTTGATTGGTTGCGGGGTGGTTAGGGAATTTGTTCAATTGATTGTTAGGATGGTTTGATAGTGTTGATTCGTCAATTGGTTGGTAAGTCATTTGGTTAAGAGGTTGGGTGGTTAATTGTTACTTTGCTTGGGAGGTTGGTCATACAATCGGCTGGTAAGTCACTTGATTGATAGGTTAATTGTTGATTAGGTTCCGTTGGTTGATTAAAGGTACAGTGTGTAGAATTTAGGGCCATCTGGTGGCGAGCTAATAGAATGCGATGAAGGGCACGCATTTTGAAGCACGCAAACTACGGTGCCTCAGCGAGACCACACTTTGATACCGATTTCTTCAGCAGAGGTGCAAGCAAAATGTCATCCCAGACAACTTTCTTGCATTTCCTCAAGTGGCGGAGTACGTGCATGGCATCTGTTACGTGATGCTGTAAGTCGTGATGCCGAGGAACGCTGTTCGCTAAGTTTGTCTCCTTCAGGTATCCGTAGCAGAAAGATGGCGGCGAAACATGGCAGCCTCCTGTAGGGGAGGCGAATCCTATGGAATATAATTCGCCATTACGTCACCTATAATTAATTACATGACAACATTTATATTGATGTAGCAGAACTGATTTTTTTTCTCCATATTTTTGAAATTAAATAATGTTGAGAAATGAGCACATTTTTACTCACTGTCCCCTTACAGCTGAAAAGTGAAGAAGGGTTTTTTTTTCAACTACCCTTGCCACCGTTCAACTTTTGCATCTGTGGTTCCCATAACAACAAGAGTGATGGCCTCGGACCTGCGAGCAGATATCTCTGGCTTGTGGTGCGAATCGCTCGCCGTACTCCTCTTTCTTGGTCTTGATCCTTTCCTCCATCTCGACCTTTTTGGGATGCTCGCCCTTCATTCTGAGGACGGGCTGGCCCGCCGTCATCTCGTAGATGAGGCAACCCAGACCCCACCAGTCGGCACTCACGCCGTAATATTCGTGGGCGATCACCTCCGGGGCTGCGCAGGGGATGGAAGGAAGATTTTGGTGGGGGGGGGGAACAGGTGCTGCTGTCAATCCAAACTGCCAAAGCTTTTGACATCATAACATACGGGGGTCCAAAATCTGTTCCCTTACATATTAGCTCTCCATTATTCCCAAATTCACAACCCACACTCTGTCTCACCCAGCTTCCTTATGACATTCTTTGACATAACTCACAACCGATCACAGTAGATGGCAGCGTTGCATCAACTTTGGATTTCAGATCAAGGTTAGAGGTCAATCTTCGGTTGTCACGTCTATTAATAGGGAGAGAAATGCCAACGCGTAGGAAGTAGGACAAATTTAGGCACCGGACACCTGACAGAGTACGTGTTGTCGTCGGAGGTGTGTGGAGCGGTTGTGGGGTGAATGACGGGCACCATGTAAAAAAAAAAAAAAAAAAAGGCCGACCGATAATCATTTGGTACCAGGCGCTCACAGCAAGTTCAAACGCTCAGTTGAGAAGCTATTTTGCCTGAATTGAAGTTGCGTTCGGAAGAAAAGTTTGATGAGTGTTAGTTTGAAGATAGAGATAAGCCTTCTTGAAACAAAGTGGATTCCGACCTTGTTAGATACTGACCCATGTATCCTAGCGTGCCCACGCGGCCTCGCACCACCCCGCTCTCGGACACGCGAATGGCGAGGCCCAGGTCGGAGATCCTGATGTGTCCTGTGCCAACAAAAACACATGAGACGTTTTGTTTTGGTTTCTTTTTTTGGGGTGAGGGTGTAAAATTGTTGTAATTAACCAGGAATTCAAGCGTAGGGTGTTTTCGAGCTCACACATTAAACAGAGTAGGCCACCACGCCCGGGTGGACCATTTAAGTGTTGATTGAAAAAGAAAAAAAAAAGGCAACACAACCTGTTGTGTTGTCACGGCTAAAAATAGTTTTGTGTTTGCATACCGTGTTCGTCCAACAAGATGTTCTCTGGCTTCAGGTCCCTGAAAGACAAGATGGCGTTTGACGTCAGAGAATGGTGGAATGGACATAAGCATGTCATGGGGATGTGGAGGCAGGTGTCCCCCAAAAAAACGACAAAAAAGTTTTTGGTTTTTTTTTTTTTTTTCCCCCCAGACCCTGTGACGATGTGTTCCAGATTAACCCTTTCAGGGAGAGCGGTTACGACAATGGACAGCTTATCATGTTATCAAGTTACAGGGTGCATTAAAGCGTTAAAACCAAGGCAGAGCATCCAACGATTTTTTTTTTTTTTCCCCAGTTCAGTTATAATGGTGGTGAATTATTGCTGAATCTTTCCTTTTTGCAGGCTGGCCGAGTCTTCGTGTATAAGGAAGTGGGGGGGCGGGTCACTGTCGTATCAACAGTAGATGACAATTACAGAGGAGACGGGTTCTACATACAGTCAAGTCAGTCATCAACAAAAGATACGTTTCTCGATATGTGCAGTGTGTGATATTCGAGGATACAACAAGTCTTATCGTTGATTCTGTTCAATTGAAAATCGATTTTTCCAATTTGAATTGTTTTTGTTACACCCCTGATGCAAGGCTCTGAATGTTTTTTTTTTCCTTTGGGGAGCATTTTTGCTTATCATTGAGGTTGGGGAGGAGGAGGAATTTTGCAAAACTGTAAAGGATTTTTTTTTAGATAGAGAGAAACACACACACACACACACACACACACACACACACACAATATGTACACTAACAATGAAGCATTGATGAAAAAAAAATATAAAAAAAAAGGGCCGAAACAATTTTTATGCAACTGCACTTGACTAAACATGCATCTTAGTAAGTAAAATACTGTACGGCGCTCTTGCAACTGCACTTGACTAAACGTGCATCTTAGTAAGTAAAATACTGTACGGCGCTCTTTACGCACAGCACTGACTGCCATTTGCATTTGTGTGATCCTATCAGCCTGCCGTTCCACTTCCACCGCCGACTTCCTGCGTATGTGTGGCACAAGCGCAATATGCCCGCTCGCAGTTTTGCTTATCAATGTGTCCATATTGAGGTGCAGAGTCCACATTTTGACCCGCAAAAACAACGATATGCAGTGCCCAAGCACCTGTAGAAATGAGTGCGAGCAGTTCCCAAAGTCGCGTCTCGTCGTTAGGGAGTGGCCCCACTCCGAGCAACCGAATCCCATGGGCGTGTCTCTCAAAGCACGCTTGTAAATCAATGCTATCATCCATACACATTAGGCTCACCGCACACACCGAGCGACGCGACAGAAGTGGACCATCCTCAATAAATGATAATTGGTTGCCGACTGGAACACACCCCAAGCGAAAATGTGCCGCGCATCTGCATGCTTGCTGCAATGAAAAAACTGTGACACAGTCTCGGGTTTTCAGGCTTCACAAACACTAAACTGGACCGCTGTCAAGGAAGAAGCAGATTGAGGAAATGGGCCACAACAAAGGAGAGAGGCTAATTTCAAAAGCTGTTGCTTAACCCTTTCGTGCACCCTGTAACCTGATAACATGATAAGCTGTCCACCGAAGTAAACGCTGTCCCCGAAAGGGTTAAAATATCACCAAACCTGATATTTCATGTGATATGTCATTCTTTCGTAATATTTTCTGAAAGGCTCCAAAAAATGAGTGTGAAGATGCCATATATGAAATAATTATCGGAATTTAGCATATGTCATGAATATATACAGTACCTGAACCGGTTCTGAGAGGGCCACCACAACCTAGCTCATATTGGCACCACGGGGCCATACCTCGAAAAGGCTTCATGTTATGCCAGGGTGGCCACACTGGGTGGGGGGACTTGGCTATACAGGACTCGATGGATCTGACCATCGGACCCAACCACTCTCCCTGCCGAAGGGCATATTAGCCACAACTAGCGAGTCCATGACCCATGACAACTGGAAAAGGAGCTTGGGAAACAGACCCTCACCCTCCACCTCTTACCCACCTCCCACCATATTACCGGGTCTGCGACTGACAAATGTGACTTTGTCTGACATGTTGGTGTGGCTCACCTGTAAATGATAGACTTCTCGTGCAGGTGCATGAGACCGCAACAGACCTCGGCGGCGTACAATTGCACTCGTTTCGAGTCCAGTCCGGCCGGGCCCATGTTGTAGATGTGAAACTTTAGGTCTCCCCCGCTCATCATGGTGAGAACCAAGCACAGGTCGTGTTTGGTCTCGTAGGCGTATGCCAGATTCACCTAAGGCACGACAGCAGCTGCGTCAGAGTCTCAAGTTTGAAGTCACTAACTTTGCCGCACAGGAGATACGTTCGATAATACAAACGCAGTCTTGACAACTTAGCCGTTCGCTGGCTATATTTAGCAACTTGTCCGACTGCTTGAGCCACCGTTTTTCAACAAAAGAAACTAATAACTTTACGCTAAGAAACAGACATGAGCCAAAGAATTTTTCACATTGTTTTGGCATATAACAAGGAAGAACCGCTGCTGTACCCATTCTGAACTGAAACAAACTTGGATCAATACGTAAGGAACCGTGATGCGGTTTCTCCGTGATAACCGAACCTTTACTATGTTGTCCGCGACAGGGAACGGTTTCTCACCACAAAGCGACTGTTCACGCTCTCCAGGATCTCCTTCTCATTGAGCGCCATTTCTTCGCCTCGCCGCTTCTTCACATGCGTCTTCTGCAGCTTCTTGCAGGCGTACATCATCCCCGTGGCCCGCACCTGACATGCCCATACCTGGTCGGGAAGCAAACCAATGGAAACATCTTCTCAGGACGTGTGTGGCAATCCTCAGGGCTCTGTTCTTGGTCCTTCGCAGTTAGGTTTTTGGCGGGGGAGTTCCAAAGACATTACATATGTCTATAATATTTGATTGGGGGTGGGGGGGGTTCTGGTAAACAGCGACGTTTGGGCTTATCTACACGAAGCGCACTAAAGACTCATACGGTTCTTCAAGGTTCTGTTCGCAGTTGTTGAAAGCTCCAAAGAGACTTTGATTCAGGACTCTTGAGATTCCTCAGGAATCTATTCTTGGTCCTTTTGTATTTACAGCCTAATCCTGGCTTCAAACCCTTCCTTGAAACCCCGACCCAGTCTACAAACTCTAACCTGTAGGCCTTTTTTTTTTTAACTATAAAACCTTTTAAGGGTTTTTGATATCACCGAGTATCATGCATAATTTGCAGCAAAAGTTGAGCAGAGTTTTGAAAATGAAGGGGAAAGAAAATGAGGAAGTCACCTCCCCAAAGCCTCCTTTGCCTAACACTCGGTATTGTCGGAACTCGTTCTTGGTGACCGGCCTCCTGAAGGACAAATATGGAGGATGTTTACGAGCCAGGCGACTGACATATGTCAATTGATCAATTCACCAAATCGATCACTAACCTTTCTAGCATCTTCCACTGCAGGAAGCGGTCAAAGTACATGCTGCACTGGTAATGCTCAAAAGGTTCTCCGCTGAGGAACGTGTGAAGATCACTAAACACAACAACGCAGCTGTCAATCGCAGCCCGAAGCCCCGCCTCCTCCGGACAGCAGCGGTGCATGCTGGAACGTACTCTCTGCAGTTCTTGAAGATGTCAGTGCAGGGTTCGTGATCTAGACTCCACATGCAGCCTCGCTTGTGTTTGGACACCTCGGGGATAAACTGTGACGTCTGAACACACAAATAGGTGAGGACACACACACACACACACACACACAAAGTGAGGCCATGTGCACGCGCTTACACACACACACATTAATGGTGAAGAACTCTTGAATGATGTGTAGTCCAACCGCTCGCCTGTCCTCATCTCGCTGCATCTCAAATTCGTCCTGAAGACAAAACAGCGTGTCAAATTACCTCCACCAAAGAACTCGTTGTGTGGCTTTGACAAAGGGGATTCAATCGGTGCCAAGGAGGATGAAGAAGAATCACTTGTTGCTGATGTGTGATTATGTAACAAGCCCAAATAATTAGAAACGCGTCCAAGTGGCAGCACAAAATTGTTACGCTCTTCATGCATGACTGGAACGCGACAGACAAATGTCCGCGCCGGGCCGAAAATTGGATGGAGAACATTTTTTTTTTCCCCAAAAAATATAATTTGAAATCAAATTACAGAGTGACTATTGTAATCAACTCGGCTTGAAATCCTAAGACTTAACCATAAATGTTTAAAATCGTGATTTCAAACCCTTGTTTGTGGAAATGAGAATAGTATGTGTGTGTGAAAGTTGTGCGTGCGTGCATGGATATGTGGTACCAGAGCCTGACGCAGCTCCCCGTACTTTCGTAGTTTGTCTTGGCTGTCACAGAACTGGTCAAAGAGCTTTCGGCCGATGGGCTGCACCACGCATATGTCCCAGAAGTCCCGCACTGAACACACACACACACACACACAGAGTCTCTCGGTCACATCACGCGCACACTTCTCACATGACGCCGAGACGCACGCACCTATGGTGGCGGCCAAGTTGCTGCATCGGCTGATGTGCGGGAAGCGAAGCATCTCTTGCCATTTCCAGCTCCGGCCTTTGGTCCCGCCTCCTACGTGGACACACACACACACACACCCTCACCCTTGTGAACATAATGAAACACGTACACACAAGTTGAAGTGCGCGCACACATTCACGCCGCTCGTACACAAAACTAGATGCACACAAAAACGTATACATATATATTATATATCTATACACGCCCACACAGACATGGATACATGTGCGCTCACGTGTATACGGATGTGAGGGATATTTGGCTTTCAGTCGCCTTTCTACACGGCGACTCGACTGATCCCAAAAGGTTTTTAATAGGATTCAGGTCTGGAGAAAGTGCAGGTCATTCCGGTTGAGGTACATCAGTGTCTGCCGTTGCCTGATGATGTCATTGCAAGACCATGATGCCTATGCCTGTTCGTGTGGCCAGATACCCTTGCGGGTCGTCGACCACGCTGATGTAAACGGTTTCGACTGGTCTGACGTGACATTTGGGTCCCTCTCAACGTGCCCGGAGTTGATTGGCGTTCATCATCCGTTTACTCAGGGACATTGTTCCCAACGTAGCGGTCATCAGCATGGGATGTGGCCAAAGCACGTCCACTTTTACATCTTTCTGTGACTCTTCCAGTCACTCGGTGTCTCTATTGCAACCCGCTGATGACACTCAGTGACATTCAGTGTCCGCTTCCGTCTGAGAACGTCCCCGTTTGAAGCGTCACGATGGCAACGTAATGTTGATTCACTGTTAGCCGTCATCTTGCTCTCATGATGTCAAAATGTGAACAGCATGATGAGGACGACTGGTCTAACACCAGCTCGAATTGAACCACGACACTTATTGGTCGAGTCGAGGGTGTCGTGAGTTTTGCCGCCAAGCTCCTCATTAGAGAACAGCAACTTGTGCAAAAAGTCCTGAAACGTGCAAAAGCTGAGAGAAGCTCACATTAAGTTCACCTGTAAATGTTTGAATGCATTTCAGGCTCGTCCTGAAATTTCACCCGAAAGCCAAATATCCCGAACATTTTGTGCGGCGTGTGTGTATGTGTGTGTGTAAACGTACACATTTCAATAGACACGAATGCGCGCGCACACAGTAAAAATGCACATCACATATAAATTACAAACGTGAATACACTCAGGATAAAAGCACACACATACACATACATCACATGCACACACACTAACATATTTACATGTAAGCATCTACGCTTAAGTGCACGCACACACACACACACACACACACACACAGTTTGGCTGTGCCCATCCTATTTTTAGCCTCTCAGGTCGAGCCTGCATTACCACATTTTAGTGTCGTTTGACGTTCTCTCCTGGCAAACGTCTTAAAATGCAAATATAACCTTTGAGCACCGTGTGAAAGGAAACAAGGTGAAAGGTCACAGAGATCTGGACCCCACGAGGTCGTGACCCCCCGAGGCGGCAAACGCTCATCGCTCTTTGTCGAACGCAATTGCAAACGTGGGGGAACTTCACACAGTTCTGTGAAGCCTCCAGTAAAGCTTAGCTTAGCATTAGCATCGCAACCAGAAGACCAATCGACCAAATGGCGTGCGTACCTTCTCTGGCCCTCACAAGAGCCCTGTTGGCCACCAGACTGTCAATCTCCATCAAAGCATATGCGTGTGCGTGAAAGTGTAATACACACCGCACTGAAATACCTCCACCAGGGAAGGGGAGGAGTCGTGCAGGTAGACCACGCCCCCCCACGCCTTCCTTGGCCGTGGAATGTTTTTCTTGTTTCGTTCATTGTTATTCTTATCTCATCTTGTGTGAAACGTGCGAACTCTGAGTTTGCTTTCTGAGTTATTTATAGAACATTCCACTAGAAACGCTGGCGGGATTTTCCATCTCTTATTTGTTTTAAATTTGTACAACACTTGCAAGCACAAACGAAAGCTTGTCTTGTCGCACTTGACGCGCAGCCCATTGTTCTCATCATGTACACCTTGGGACAGATTGGTAGGCGGAGGTGACAAGCGTCGGCTATCAAAAGCCTACACGCCCCTGTTCAAATACAGCGTTTACAGCATCCCAAAAAACCCAAAACAAAGCCAAGATGAATCATCCCCAAAAGGTTTTCACCAGTAATGTGAACTCTGACCTGTACACAAACATTTGCATATTTTCGTGAGAGAAAGACGACGTGGTTTCATAAGTGCGCACACCCTCATAATTGCCAATGTGGCACTTAAAAATGAACCAATCGTATTCAAATACTTGTGAACAGAGTGCTCTAAATCACGTTTGCGTGTTCTAGTAGGCTTTCCAAAAATGTTATTGCACTTTTTTTTGGGGGGGGGGGTCCTGAAAAGTGAGTATTTTGCAGGGTACGAGGATTTCGCCTCACATCGGTGATATACTAGTCGGCTCGTTCTCCTTGGTAGCAAAACAATTCAACACACCTATATGACAGTGTGTGTGTGTGTGTGTGTGTGTGTGTGTGTGTGTGTGTGTGTGTGTGTGTGTGTGTGTGTGTGTGTGTGTCCCACTACAGTTGCTACTAGTGAAATCCTTAACAAGTAGAATTTTATTTCGCATGTGCAAAATGAAGTCAAACTTTTATTTCTGTGGCATTTTTCAAAACACGCAGTTACCAAGTGCTTCGCAGATACAAAATTGTCCACTATGCAGCATGTTTTTAAATATCTCCCTCCTCCAACACACCTGATTCAAATCCTGATCTTTTTGAATCAGGTGTGTTGGAGGAGAGGACAGGTACCCTTCAGAACCGGAGTTGGTCCCCCCTGAACTTGACTAAACGATTTTAATGTTTGGGTTTTTTTTGGGCGGGGTTTTTTTTTATTACGTGGTGGTGTCAGCAGATGTCGCTGATCCTGAAAGATAGTTCCGGAGATTTGTAGCTCGGAATGCAGAAGCAGCACTTGGCTCAGTTTAATGAGCAGTGGCTGATAAAGTGAGGCGAAGGAGTAAGTTGCTGCTGCTGCCCCCCGCTAAAGGAAGAAAAGACCCCAGTTCACTGAAATAATTTAGCCGAAAGTCGGAAACGATGAAAATAAATTGAGACTGCTTTGCTACATCTGACACAGCGTGCCTTGAATCCATGCAGGCGAGGATGTAAATGAAACGTCGAAGCTTTCGAGGGAGTGGGGCGTGCCGTCAAGTATCAGGAAGTTTGCTCTTTTTACGTCTTTGTATTTATTTATTTGACTTCTGTCCGTTTCATGTCATTTCAAGTTTCTCTCTTTTCACCAACAGTTCATTCCAGGCGTTCGGTACTCGTCGTGTACAAAGCTCAACTGGTGCACAGTTTTGCCTCGCGACTAACATGTCGACAGAAAGAAAATTTCATTAATTTTAATGAGGTTCAGTATTACAAGCGAGAACAAAGAGCGTACTGGTATAAAAAGGCTCGAACGTCTTTCGCCTCTGTGACGGACGTCACAACATCGCTTCGCATTTCAACGACTGGATTGTTGTAATTGTGGCAATTTACAGGAAAGCGTTTTTGTTTAAATGTCATTTCATTTTGTATGATTGCGGTTACAATGAAAAACGTGCGTACACTTGAGTCATGTCCACGCTTTGAAAGTGTTTCGGACGCCATCTGCTGGCGAAATACGACTATAGTCCGTCTTTGGTGATTGGAAAAAAATGTTTTCTTTTTTTCCCCTCAACACACGGGGACAAGAAACTAATTTACAATTTAAAATTAAGTGTTAAAAGGCAGAGGGAACAGGGTGTTCAATTATGGGCACTCGCGTTTGACATCCCAAGCCAAGACAAAACACTTGTTAATTTTTCTTTTTTTTACCTTAACAGAATTTCAAGTGGCCGGCCAAACTGCCCAGCAGCAGCGGGGAACATGTAACCCGGGATTGAAGACGCAAACTTATTGGCGACAGAGGACAGCCGCAACCACTAAATGTTTTGCTTTGCCAAAGCCTTTCCGTTCCTTGACAGCGACATATCACAACGGCAGTGCAGCAGCTTTACCAACTCGACTCTTCCTTTTGGTAAGTTTAGCCGATCACACTAATCTGAGGCTTTTAAAAGATCAGTCAAACTCCTCCAAGGTTCCATCAGCTTTTATTCAATATCTCGTGTGGACGTTTCCATTCTACCGGCAGGAGTCAAAAGTTTTTGGGCCATCTATTTCAATCGGTCACTCGCTCATTTAACATGCACATCATAAAATATTTGACATAGCAGTCCAGTGCTTTGCTTTAATTGTCATCGTTTGTCCACACGAGATCCGTAGAATGCAAGAATATACAGAAAATACCAGAAAGTTGATCCAACACAAAAGGCAGATAAATTCAACTCCCACAGAAATTGGTTTCAATATTTATCACTTTCATTATCAAGCTTTATTGATCAGTGCCAAAAAAACTCAGCAGGCAAATGCTTTCCCTCCACTGTGTGTTCTTGTATGTATCTTTAAGTTTCCCTTTCGAGAGAATCTCTGACCGCAAACTGAGCAAGCAAAAGGTTTTTCTCCGGTGTGCGTTTGGCTGTGGCTTCTCAAGTTTCCTTTTAGAGAGAACGCTTGGCCACAAACGGTGCATGCAAAAGGTTTCTCTCCAGTGTGCGTTCTTGTGTGGGATTTTAAATGTTCCTTTGTAGCGAATCTTTTCGCGCAAGCTGAGCATGCGAAGGGTTTCTCTCCGGTGTGGATTCTCATGTGGATTTTTAAATATCCCTTCACAATAAATGTCTGGCCACAAACTGAGCAGGCAAAAGCTTTCCCGCTAGTGTGGGTTCTTGTGTGTATTTTCAAATATCCCTTCGTAGTAAACCTTTGATTACAAACTGAACAGGCAAAAGGCTTCTCCCCAGTGTGGATTCTTGTATGTGCTTTCAAATGTCCCTTAACGGAGAATCTTTGACCACACACCGAGCAGGCAAAAGGCTTTTCGCCAGTGTGCGTTCTTTTATGAATTCCTAAATGTCCCTTCTGAGAAAATCTTTTACCACAAACAGAGCAGGAAAAAGGTTCCTCGCCAGTGTGTGTTCTTCTGTGAATTCCTAAATGTCCCTTCTGAGAAAATCTTTTCCCGCAAACTGAGCAGGAAAAGGGTTTATCTCCTGTGTGCGTTCTTGTGTGACTCGTCAGGCTCCCTTTTTCAGAGAATCTCTGACCACAAACTGAGCAGACAAAAGGTTTCTCTCCAGTGTGCGTTTTAGTGTGGGCCGTCAAATGGTTTCTTTGAGCAAATCTCTGGCCGCAAAACGAGCAGACAAACGGCTTCTCTCCAGTGTGCGTTCTCATGTGTGTTGTCAGACTATTTCTTTGAGCAAATGTCTGGCCACAAATGGAACAGACAAACGGTTTCTCTCCGGTGTGTATTCTTGTGTGTCTTCTTAAATGTCCCTCTTGCGTGAATCTTTGACCGCAAACTGAGCAGGCAAAAGGTTTCTCTCCAGTGTGCGTCATCAAGTGTTTTTTCAAAAGACACTTGTAGACAAAGGTTTTCCCGCATTGAGAGCATTTCCAGTGTTGGTTGTCAACGTGACCTTCGTATTCTTCATCATCATCAGTGTGAGGAGAGTATGATGTCGTGTCGTCACTATCTGACAGTGGCGCTATGAGTCCGTCTGTTGGTGATTGTCCGTCACCTTCTGTCGTCTCATGCGGACTCGAGCTGTTGCTACTGGGATGCTCCACCCCTCCGCTGGCCTCACTTTGATCCTCATCATCTTCACTTTTCAAAGGAGCACCTGTAAATTGCAAGGTGATGATGTCATCATCCTCTTCCTCTTTGATGTGCGGATGCTTGGACATCTCGCTAGCTTGAATCTGAGTGGCTTCTTCCTCCTCCTCTTTAATGGAAGGGCGCTCCAGCTCATCCTCTTTTTGTCCGTCACTTCGCTTATCCCTCTGCTGCTGCTGCCCGAAGACATCAAGGTACATTTTGCTCATGTCTGCAAGACACAAGAAGACAACAGTGTGTTTTGGGCACATCAAGTCAGTTGTGACTTCCACGTTTCCAATTCTGTCTCTATTTAACATGATTGGACGAGTCAAAATAGTCAGAGAACAAGTTAAAATAGATTTGTGCCGTCAAGGTCTGCCCTTCTCGCAACATAATGACCTGCTTTATATAATTCCCATGATCCCCACGTCAACTGCCACTGGCAGTTTAGCGACAAAAAGTAGCTAGTCAGTCACAAGCCTGCACAGGATCCGAGTCTGCGAAAGAGAGGAAGAAGTGAACAAACCTGCTGAGTTTAAGCAAACTCGAAGCTTCTCACAAACAGCGTCGCGTACTTGACGAAGTTGTTGCTAGTTGTCGTCTTCTGTTCCGTGAAGTTCCGAAGTGTACTCTGTTGTCCTCCTTGCAAACATTTTCAAACGATTAGCACCAAACTTTTTGCTAATATTTGACTTCCGTTGAGCGATTACAAACGCGTCTTAGCGTTGTGCTTAGCGGCTGGTAAGCTAGGCTAAGCTAAACTAAGCTAGGCCGAGAAGGGTCATCGGCGCACCGAGACACCAAGATTTGCTAGATGCTGTTTTAGTTCAGTTAAGTGGCGATAGAAGACATTTGTGTCTAGCCTTCAATACGTTCGTTCGACACAAAATTCAAAAAAAATATTTGTAGAGCGTGTGCGGTTACGTCAAAAGAAAAAAAAGACTGGCGACACAAAATGTACGGCAAATACACTTGGACAAATTTAAAACTCATGCACATTTCAACGCATAAATAAGGCGACAGGATACAGAAGTCAGCAGGGAGCCTGATCATGAAGAAATTGATATCCTGACAGCTGCAAACAGTTTATTGAGCCTTCATTCAGAAGTAAAATGAACGCGGTGTACCCTGGACGCGGGACGACCATCACTTTTGGGGAAAATGTGGTTCGTCTTTGGTTGAAGTCGTCTCGGTGCATGTTGACGCTTGTCGGACTAGCTTAGTTTAGCCTAGCCTAGCTTGGCTCGCTGGCCGCTAACAAAGAGACGCTTTGTGATCGCTCAGCAGTGAAAATCGTGTAAAAATGTGCGCGAGGCGGACAGCGGGGTTCGAGGAGGAACTTTGTTGGGCAAAAGACGACAAGGAGCGACGACGTTGCCAACGACCCGAAGCCGTTTGCGAGACGCAGCAGCCGAGAGTTGTGCTTAGTACAGCAGGTTTGATCCATTTCTTCCTCTCACGTGTGTACTAAATGCGGTACTTTCTATTGTTAGGTTTACGATTTTTATTGTCTTTTTAAGGAAAGAAAGAAAGCAAAGCAGCTTTATTTATTTGTCACAGGGGCGTGCAGAGGGTATCTTCCTGGATTGTGGCATCCACAGGGCAGCCGCACCCGTTGCTTGAAAACGTTTCAGAACACGTCTGTTGCCAGTTGTTGATGAAGGGGCATCAGTTTCGGGTTAGGGTGAGCAACGTGCAATTTGGACGAGTGTAGTGGTCCTAGACTTTTTACATCAAATACCCAATCAAAATGTGCTTAGCTCTCCCAAGTACCACCACAATACAGTCACATAGTAGGCCCAAGTGTTCATCTAAAAACTGATTTTTTTTTTCCTAATAATGTTTTATAACATTAACACGAGGCTTTAAAAATACACCCACCACTTAAATGATTCAATTAAAACTGTATTGCATGCGAAAGTTCTGTAAAAATCTAACTTCGTTAAGATTTTAAAAGCATATTCTATTGTGCATGCTTTTTTCCCCCCACTCAAGCCAAATAGCCAAATAATCACCACAAAGTGCAAAAGAGAAATGTGAGCTGGTGTTTTTCCTGTACTTTTATATCAAATTGCAATATGACCACTATTTGGTGGGGAGGGTGCAATGTTATTTTTCCAACATCATGCAGCCCTACGTCAATATAATTAAAATTCACCACATCAAAGTAACAACATAACTTGTATTTGTCTTTATGTGTGCTGTAGGCGTTGGTGAAAAGTACCCTGATCCTAGCCACCAGGAGTCTCCGCCCTTTCCCATTGGAGGCAAAAAAGAGGAGCAGGAGTCCCCTCACGTGAAAGAAGAAGAAGAAGAAGAAGAGGAGGAGAAACCAGGGCCTCCTTACATGAAGGAGGAAGAGCAAGAAGAGGACGTCACAAAGTTCCCATGCCCTGGTATCTCTCTCAAGACTGAAGATGAAGATGAAGGTCCCAGTGAGGCCAGAGGAGAGGCGGAGCCTCCCAGCAGCAGGAAGTCAAGTCAACACATGACAACAGGAGCTGACAGACAATCACCAGCAGATGGACTCTTGGCGCCACTGTCAGATAATGACGACGCAATGTCAAACTCTCCCCACGTTCAAGATGATGACAACGATGATGATGAGGAAGAGTTCGAAGGTCATGTGACATGTCACACTGACAACAAACGCTGGGAATGTTCTGAGTGTGGGAAAACATATGCTTATAAGGGAAGTTTGAAACAACACATGCGAACACACACTGGAGAGAAACCTTATGCGTGCGCAGTTTGTGGTAAAAGATTTTCAAAGGCGAGAATCTTGAAACTACACACAAGAACACACACCGGAGAGAAACCTTTTGCATGCACAGTCTGCGGTCAACGATTTTCTCAGAAGGGAAGTTTAAGCAGTCACACCAGAATACACACCGGAGAGAAACCTTTTGCATGCTCCTTTTGCGCCAAAAGTTTCTCTCACAAGCGAAGCTTAACAACACACACGAGAACGCACACGGGAGAGAAACCGTTTCCCTGTTCGGTTTGTGGTAAAAGATTTCCTGAGAAGGGAAGCTTAAAACGTCACACAAGAACACACACTAGAGAGAGATCTTTTGGCTGCTCGGATTGTGGTCAAAGGTTCTCTCAAAAGGAAGATTTAAAACAACACACAAGGACACATATTGTTGAGAAACTTTATACATGCACAGTTTGTGGGAACAGTTTCTTTAATAAAGGAAATTTGACAACACACACCAGAATACACGCGGGGGAGAGACCTTTTGCCTGATGGGATTCTGAGCAAACATTCACTCGAAGAAACCATTTGGGCACCCACACAAGAATGCACACATACACGCTTGAGAAAATTTGGACCTGCTTAGTATGATATCTTCTTATATTCTCCGGACGTTCTCCCAAACTTCCTGTAGACAAGTGCAGAGAATGAGCACTCATGGTGAATCACTTCATACTAAACAAATGAAATACACTTCAAATAAGAGAATGATTGACACAATAGGCGGTATGAAATTTGGACCCTTGGTGGCAAGATGGAACGATGTGAATGTCATCCTGAATAAAATACAACTCTTCACGCGTTGGGACTCACTCAGTATATTAATACTGTAATCTTACATTCTGAACGTATCTGAAAAGTGAAAGTAAATGTCTTCCTAAATTTGGAACTTCATCGGAAAGAATGCAAAAGCCCTGCCAAATTGGAATACTGAAAAAATACGGCATCAAAATCATGCTTTTGGTCCTGCTGTCAGAGCGAAAAGGACTTATTGGTCTTCGTCAATTATTTCCGTGCGTGAGCTTGAAAGGTTCATTTGATCTGGACTGTGCTGTTTTACGACATATAATCAGCCTTACAGCAAAGCCGGGTTCCAAAAGTCACTTGGGAATTGTAGTTCTTTTGTCGTGTGTCGCCTCGAAGTGACGTCGTAGCAAGTGCCGTTTTTTTTTGTTTTTTTTAAGGCTACACTGAAGTTAAACTGCATTGTACTTGACGGATGTCTTTCGCTTTACCAATAAAAAATAGAAATTTGTTATCGTTTTTGAAGCCACTGAACAGATATACTATAGCCCTTTATTCTATTTTAATTGTTTGGATAGTTTTGGTATCACTTATTTTGAATTTGTGTTTAGTTTATCGTTACTGTATTTTCTTCCGCACTTATGGGCCACCGTAGTATGGCGTTTTGGTGACCGAACAAATTTGTCCAAAAGGGTTTGCCGTACAGTGTCCACTGAAATTATGACGTGTTCTGAACAACTTCTTGTAAACCACACGCGCTTCACCAAACTTTCGTAAAATTGGTGAACGACTACTTCGCGGACGTACCGAAGCCTCGTCACTGGACGTCCGTTAAGACCTCATTCGTTCACTCTTCATGTCCGCTTAAAAATTGCACGTTGGATCTGAGCGCCTTATTTTAGCCTAGCCTAGCTTAATTTAGCTGGCTAGCCGCTAACAAAGAGAGGTACATGTATTGGTGATCGCTCAGGAGTGATCAAGTGTTGTGATTGTCGTGTGAAAATGTGCGCAAGAAGAACAGCAGAGTACGAGGAGGAACTTTGGGGAGAAAAAGCCGACAGCGAGAAGACAGCAGGTTTGTTCACTTCTGAAGCTCATTCTTTTCGCACATGCTTCTCTTTCGGTTTCAGACTTCATTCACGAGTTGTATAATCACCACCACGAGGGCAACAACATGTGAGAGAGACGCCGCTTAAAAGCTACTTAAACTTTATACGCAATGTCGAAGGACTTATTTCACAAGCGCGTCAATACACTTCTATTCACGCGTGGTGGCTATATTTTAGATTTAGCCACTACACTGCTTGCTTCTTTGTTTTTTTTTTGTTTTTTTTTTGCTTTTCACATGAAACATTTGTATCACAAAGGCTCTCGAGACGAGCGATTTTCCATCTTTCACAATATCGGGAAAAAAAGAAAAATACTGCATGGACATGCTGGAAAAGACACTTACAGCCTCTTCCAAGTTGGAGCATGAAGACAATATCGATGTCATAGCTTGTGTATTATTATCACTTTCCTTTTAAAAAGGAATATCTGAATTGCAAGAGCCAATTAGGAAAAAGTGTCATTTTCTGATTCAGCGACATAACAATACCGACCATAACTGCGAACCATATATTTGTCTTTGTGTGTCCTGCAGACATCAGTGGAAAATATCTTGATTCTGGCCACCAAGAGACGCCGTCCCTTCCCCTTCGAGAGCAACGGGAGGAGCAGGAGCCCTCGCAAATGAAGGAAGAAGAGGACAAACAAGGGCCTCTTCACATTAAGGAGGAAGAGCAAGAGGAGGACATCACCAAGTCACCGTGCGCTGGCGTCCCTCTCAAAAGGGAATGTGAAGATGAAGAAGATGAAGGTCCAAGTGAGGGCGGCGGAGGGGTCGGGCCTCGCGGTAGCTGTAAGTCAAGTCAACACGTGACAACAGAAGATGATGGACAATCACCAGCACACAGACTCTTGGCGCCACTGTCAGACAGTGATGACCCGATGTCATGCTCTCCTTACACTCATGATGATGATGATGATGATGATGACAGTCATACAACAGTTCACACAGACGGCAAACGTTGGAAATGTTCAGAGTGCGGCAAAACGTATGCCTCTAAGAGCAGTTTGAAACAACACACGAGAATGCACACTGGAGAGAAACCTTTTGCCTGTTCACTTTGTGAGAAAAGGTTCTCTCAGAAGGGGGGCTTAACAATACACACTAGAACGCACACTGGTGAGAAACCCTTTGCCTGCTTGGTTTGCAATAAGAGATTTTCTGAGAAGGGAAGCTTAAAACTGCATACGAGAACGCACACCGCCGGGACCTCTTTTGTCTGCTCAGTTTGTGGTCAAAGATTCTCTGGCAAGGAAGATTTAAAACTCCACACAAGGACTCACGTTAATTGGAAACCGTATTTATGCACCATTTGCGGTAAAAGTTTTACCGCCAACAAATATTTGAGAGAGCACTCAACGACACACACCGGCGAGAAGCCGTACGCGTGCACAGTGTGCGGTAAAGGTTTCTTCAATAAGGGAAATTTGACAACGCACACGAGAATGCATGCGAGAGAGAGGCCTTTTGCCTGCTTAGATTGTGGTCAACGATTCTCTCAAGAGGAAGATTTGCAGCAGCATGCAAGGACGCACACGGGCGAAAAACCTTACGCGTGCACAGTTTGCGGTAACAGTTTCCTAAACAAGGGCCATTTGACAACGCACACCAGAATACACGCTGGGGAGAGACCTTTTGCTTGCTCGGATTGTGGTCAAACGTTCACTCGAAGGGACCATTTGGCAAGCCACATAAGAACGCATACACGCTAGGGAACGTCGGGGCCTGCTCGGTTTGTCAACCGTGATTCCGCCGTCCCTCACATTGGACGGTGTATTTACAACAAGGATCCACATACTATGGATTAGATCTGTCTTTTTTTTGCCCGCTTTTTTTCTCCTTTCTGTCATGAACAAGTTGAAAATTCTGAAAAATAAAAAAGTTCCAAAAAAAAAGTTTTGCCTCTCATCCGAGCGAGCTTCAAATTCTCAGGCATTGACGTTTAACTGTAAATCACCTCAGATAAAACAAATGAAACTTCAAAAATAAAACAAGAATCGAAGAAAGTGAATGACTGAATGATAGACTGTGAAGAAATGTGGACTCCTGGTGGCAAAGTGTCAATGGGATCCTGAATAAAATACAACTTGAGGCAGAGCGACTCAGTGTATTCGTACTATATTTTTTTTTCTTAATATTATGAAATACACCTCTATATAAAATTCCAGTACCGGTATTTTACATAATGCTTCATTATAGTACGTAATTAGAATACTTTAGAAATATTTTGTGTGTTGTTTATCTCCCCCTCTCGGCATACAGACGACAGTGAAATATCGCGGGATTACGTTTTACCTTCGGAGCGTCAAACGTCATTGCAGGTAACGTGTTACGTCATTTCCTTTCACCTCCGGCGTCTCTTGGGGGCTGGCCGCAGGTATGTCGTGATTTTTTTTTTTAATGTTGCTTTTTTTTGTTTGTTTTTCTGCCTAATGTCTGCACTGACTGAAATGGTGTCAACTCGGACGCTACCCTGCCATTTTTGTTGCCACTCTGGACTGACGAAGAGAAAAAAAAAGTAAATTGGGGCGTTTGTATTAGCATGCTAATTGCTAGCCTCTCACTTCATGCGACGCTGCTTGAAAGAGGGTCTCGCGCGAGAGTCACCTACGAAAAGCGCATTTAAACAGTTTTAAACTCACAAAAATAACATGAATGTGTATATCTGGAAGTCTTTTTGTATTTATATTATATTCCTACACGCTGTTTATGTGGTCCCTTTTTCCTTGGCTTTGGTTCCTTGTCATTCTGTGCTTTATTTGCGTCGTTTGAATTTAGCCGTTAATTTACTTCACCTGCTAAGGGTTGACTGAGAGTGATTTGCGTCTTGACCAAGCTTATCATAGTGAACTAAAATTAACGAAATAGCTAAAACGGAAAATAAAAGTTAATGAAATAAAATAAAGAAAATACTTTTTTTTTTTAAATGAAAATTAAACGAAACTACAGTTTAGGTTTACAAAACTGACTAATTGGAGCGAAAATGTCTTTCAGTTTTGTCTTTGTGTCAATATCAGAGTTGATTTTAAATATATTGATTTAGGTATTGTTGTACAACAAAGTCAGCTGTTTTGAGAATTCTAGTTTACTTTATTACACAACACTTGGTTACTTTTAAGTCATCTCACTTGACAAATACTCCATATATTAAAAAAAAACAAAACAAAACGACTACAATTAATACAAAATCGAATGAAAACCAAACTAGAATAAAGCATTTTGGAAACAATAAGAACTAAGACACTCTAAACTAGAAATAAACCCTGCCTGAAAAACTCATAAAAACTTACTGTGTTGAAAAAATACACAAGTCAAACCGCAATCAAAGCATGCCGCGTATGGAGCATCCTTTCATTGACGATTCAATCTCAACACACGAGTTAAGATACACAAAATGGTGGAAAAAAGGTTTATTGGCCATGAAGCAATGGGCAGTATCCAACAACGACCATTCCTTCTTTGAGTCAGCTGCTCTTGTAGCTTCCTGACTCACTCTCAAAGTTATACAGCGATTTCATTGATTGTTTGGATTTTCAAACTGCTATTTGTCCAGGTAAGAGTAGTGAGAGCAGATTCCCATTTGCAATAGGAGGACTTTCGGAAGGCACATTGGAGACAATTGTCATTGCCGCATGAAGTCTGTTCAGAGGAGCAACAAAACCATCATCGGTCGCTTCTATTCTCGCCAGCACACTTGTGCCTCTTGACATAATCCTTGCGAGAAAATCTTTGGCCACACAGTGAGCAGGAGAACAGTTTCTCACCAGTGTGCGTTCTTGTGTGTAAGTTCAAGTTTGCCTTCCTCGGGAATCTTCGACCACACACAGAGCAGAGAAAGGGCTTCTCACCAGTGTGCGTTCGAGTGTGATAGATTAAAGTTCCCTTCACAGAGAAACTTTGACCACACACCGAGCAGGCAAAAGGTTTCTCACCGGTGTGTGCTCGGAGGTGTGCTTGTAAGTGAACTTTCTGAGAGAATCCCTGACCACAAACGGAGCAGGAAAAGGGCTTCTTTCCACTGTGTGTTCTCGTGTGTCTTTTCACGTCTCCCTGCTGAGAGAATCTTTGTCCGCAAACTGAGCAGGCAAAAGGTTTCTCCCCAGTGTGTGTCCTGCTGTGCCGCTTTAACTTTGTATTGTCAGCAAATCTTTGACCGCATTCGGAGCAGGCAAAAGGTTTCTCTCCGGTGTGTGTCGTCATATGACATTTTAAAATGCTCTTAAAAGCAAATGTCTTCCCGCACTGATAACATTTCCAGCATTTGCTGCCTGTGTGACCTGTAATATGACCTCCATCATCATCATCATCAGTGTATGGAGAGTGTGACATCACGTCGTCACTATCGGAGAGTGGCGCCAAGAGGTTATCTGCTGGTGATTGTCCATCACATTCTGTTGTCACGTGTTGACGTGAGTTGCTGCTGCTGCTCAGAGGCTCCGCCCTTCCGCTTGCCGCACTTGAACCTTCACTCTTCAGGGGAACACCAGTGGATGGCGACTTGGTGATGTCCTCCTCCACATCTTCCTCTTTGATGCGAGGGGGTTGGCACTGCTCTTCCTCCGCAATGCACGGCAACTTTTCTTCCTCATCTTTAATGTGCGGCAGCTCTTCTTCGTCTTTCTTGTCAAGGGGCTCCTCTTTAATGGGAGGGGCCTCCTGCCGCCCAGGACCAAGATCTTCACTGGCGCCTTTCATATACAAGAAGACAAACACATGACTTTGTAAAATCGGTTCTCATGTCGCAATTTTGTATATAAATGTAGGGTCATGAGGGCGGCCAGATTAAATTAATAGCCAGTTCAGATCAATAAGAAAATAGACAAGTCAATAACTAAATGACCGTGAAAAAGTGTCAAAAAATTCAGTACACAAGATTCAAATCTTACAGTCGTCATCGTGAATTTCACACCACAGCACCCAAATACCATGGCTGAGAAGTCATTATTCTACCACCCACAGTCATGGTTTCATGAAATCTTGCACACGCACTCGTTATAGATTTTATTTAAAGAACTGTGTGGACTGTGGATGGTATGACAAAGAATGATGGACTCAGGCACGTCAACACCTCAAAGAGGCGTTTTGTCACCTTGGCCAAGCCACTGAATAAAATCTGGTTGCACTCCTGATGGCACAAACAGTAAGGATGGCCGTCAACAAACCTGCGGTGCGTAACTCAACTCGAAGCTTCTCGTTGTGATTTGAGCCACAAAATTTCTCCTCGGACTCTGCTGTCCTACTTGCGCACATATTTACGCGATCATCACGAAACTTCAGGCTCACGCATCGTCGATGTCGACCGAGCGACGTGTCGCGAGCAACCGCTTCTCTTTGTCGGCGGCTAGCGAGCTAAGATAAAATAGGCCGCGAAGCTTCAATAGGTGCGCAGGGATGACTTTAATCGGACACGAAAATCGTTTTAGTTTGATACGGTAATGCTGGGTGTCGTATGTTGAGGTTTCAGCGCGGTCGGTCCAAATTTGGGGCAAATCCAATACAGAGCCTGAATATGAAAAAAGTCGAACGACAGCGGGCAACTACGGCAACACCATTTGAACAAATTTAATGCCGCGCGCGAATCGCCAGGACAGTCACACAAAAACATTTTAATGTCATCGCGTATGAGCAAATACAAATGCAACAAACTTATTTTATTGAATTGTTACGCGTCAGTTCGCGTTTTAATGATCCAAGTGAATTTTCTGTTAATTGTCTGCTCTAGTGCAGACATTATGTATGTATGTACTTACTTTTCCAGCCATGGATAACTACTATCCGTTGTCTCTTTTTAACAAAAACACAAACCAACAACCGAAATAGGATTTTTTTTTCACAGACTGGGGAGAATACATGCGTCTATTATTTTTCCCAGTCTGTTAAATGTCTCCATTGATTTCCCATTGTTCAGTTTTCCTGTCAATTCCAAACCGGAGTGTCATGAAATAACTCCAAGCAGGCTGTGGCAGGCAGCAAAACATGACGAGCCAAAAACAAAATCGTCGGCCCCACTCTGAAGGTTATTGAATTGGATTGGTCAATCAATCGCAGGCCCGACGCGACACCCGGCAGACTGGCCCAGCCACTTTCTCTCCTAGTCCGATTGGACCAGCTCAGCCTCCAAATCCTTGAAGAAATCCCGCCTCTCCAGGGCGATGTCGTGGATGATGGTGTCCAGCAGCAGCCTGGCCGAGTTCCTCTTCTCCAGAGTGTTGTTCACCTCGGCCATCAGCCACTGGAAGAAATTCACCTCGATATCTCTCTCCACCGGGTCATAGAAGTAGCCGTGTCTCCTCAGTGAAGCGAAGACGGCGGGGAAAAGTTTGGAGAGGAACTGCTGCGCGCACGCTTGGGCGGCGATCATCTCCGCCGTTTCTTTCTCTTTCCTCACCGCTTCCTTCTGCTGGGCAATGCGGCACTCCTTTTCCTCGTTGCGGCGGCGCTCCTGCTCCTGCAGTCGCTGCACTTCGGCCAACTCGGCGTTTCTCAGCTGCTCGAAGGCCCTCTGCTGGGCTCGCAAACAAGCCAGCTCTTCCTCTTCCATCACCTCCAGGAGAGACTGCTCAATGGTTTTGCCCACCAGGACCTCCAACACCGGTTGCACCTCCCTGTCAAAGTCAAACAACTCCCCCTCTTCGATTTGCGTGGCAACATCTTCGCCAGATTTAGCGGGGATGAATAGCGGCGTGGCCGGCCTGTCCAAGAAACGATCCGTCTGCGAGTCGATATCTTTCGTCACCAGGATGTTACTCAGCTCCTCCAGATAGGAGTCGGTTTGCACGTCAACGTGTTTTCTACCGGGCAGGTTGTCGTGAGTCTTGAACCACACGTGGTCCCTGGACCTCATGAACTCCACCGACCTCCTCCGGAATCGGTGTTGCTGTTGAATATCGGCCGCCTGCATCGTTGTCTTCGCCGGCAACATGTGTTGACTATGAACATTCCCCCGGATGACCCGTCGGTCGTACATAATATTTCCATACTGGGGAGTTTCCGTGGGGGACCCGCTGAACTTTGAGCGACTCTCGACCGGCCTGGGCCGACTGGAGAACACGTACGTTGCATTTTTATCCCGTTGACTGACTGAAGTCATCGTGGCAAATGAGCGACACTAGCCGATCTGCGTATCGGTTTGTTTTTGTGGCGACTTTCTCAGTTTTTCATACCAGGATTCGGCTCATCAGCGGATGGACTGTGGCGACTGTCTTTCTGAACGATCAAATTCAATACAAACGATCGCGCTGGTCAAATTCTGCTTGCGGTCGGAGCTTGCTTGAGGCTGAGATAGTCGTCTTGGACGCTTCTTCACCGCCATTCGTTTTCTTGAGCTTTAGTTTGTGTTTGAACTCCTTACAGGAGCCTTCGCTTCAGTTGACAACCTTGAATGAACCCCTTTGACCCGATAACATGATAAGATGTCCAGTGTAGTAATCGCTGTACCTGAAAGGGTCAAAGGAGAAATGATTACTTAAGACTTGGTCCAGTGCTCGGTATACAACAGTTTCCAGTGGTCAAAAATAATCTGTTGTTCTTGCCCTGGTGTGGTTTATGAAATGACCGTGCTGCATACCGCTTAGTTCACTTGTCTTGCGGTAAAATACCTTCTTTGGGGTAGAGGTGTTAAGAAGTTAGAAGATGGCGCAGCGTTCATTTTATGAAATGGACTCTTGCATGATTCAAATTAACTTTTTAGAGCACCATCTTGTGTTCAATAATGCCCACTTGGCCTCCATCGCAGCCCGCTCATCCTGGAAGGGGCATGCCCCACCTGTGGCCCCTTCTCAAGGCTTCTCATTTTTCCCCAAGTGAGGTTTTGTGAGTTTTTCCCTTGAACCTCCTGCGGGACTTTTCTGTGATTAAGGGCTATCATAAATCAATTTGACTCGATTTTCTGTCTGCCGAAAAAAATTTCAACACAAAGATGACCTCATTTTATGGAAAGAGTGGTTCTTAACACAAATGAATGACCGACTGATATGCACACTCTCGTTGAGGCATTAATGGGGGACACTCCCCATCTCGAATTTAGAACGAACAAGCCTTTTGCATTTAAAGGTGAAGCATCTTTAACAAAAAACAGTCCAGTTGCCTTGATTCAACCTTGGACCGTTTACCTTGACCCGAATGACTAACTATAATTTTCATCTTCCTAAGACTTCAAAAATAGTCATCACATACCAACAGCATCCCCTGATTCCTTTGCCTTTTGCTCTAATCATATCAGTTGGCCGTAGTCTTTCTAACCCGACGCTTTGACAGCAACACACTTCGCGAGGATGATTAGCTCTTTTACGTGACTGACGTTACCGCTAATCCAGACCTTGTGACATCATTTGTTTCCAAGCAGGGTCATAAACTGCAAAGCCTTGTGACATCATTTCTGATCAGTCACGTATACAATTTTCAATCAACGAGCTCGGTCATTTTTTTTTTTTTTTTTTGCCATTGACCCTCTGTTCAAACCACCAGTTAAAAAAAAAAAGTACTTCATTACTGTGGTGTAATCGCAAAACGCTAACGTCGTTAGCTTCCACAGCATGGGCTAAGCCAAAAGAAAATCATTGGTGGTTTTGTTATTGTGATGTTGATGTGTTAAAAATATATGATGTAATGTTAATCTTACATCATGATGCATTCTTTTTGGTTGAGTAATTTCATCCTGTAAAAGACAAAATGGAGGACAAACAATTACAGCGCTGTAGTTGTAATTGGCGCCCTCTGCAGGTCAGACCTGGAACATGAAGTATTTCATCATTTTCTTTTTTTTAATCAACGATTGCAAAAAGTGCCAAAACGAAATCATTCAATGTCTCTTTTAAGCATTTTAACTATTTTAGTATGTATGTAATTATTTCAATGTTTATTGTTGACAATTTTGATTTCAATAGTCACTCATCTGTGTTGAATTATATTGGCATGTATTTCAACATTTAATGATTTTTATTTTTTTTTTTTTTGGTCACTTGTCCCGCACGGAGGTCTTAGCGTGCCAAAATCAAATTAACAAATGCATGAATAATTGGTTACATTGCAATAAAACTAATATCGAAAATTTCAAAGTTGAAATGAATTCTGAAATAATGCTTGATGACACGTTTAACTATTTAATCTCGGCACTCTCGGCCCTCCACACTAACACGTGAGTGCATATATTTCTCCTCAAAAAAATCAGTTGATGCTGACAAGTGAAGCAAAACAGAAGCATTTGAGCAGCAGACTTATTTATTTCATATAATTATCAGGGTTCTTATGATAATAATAACAACGCTGATATCGACCAGAGCAAAAAAATGTTAGCAAACACAAAGTTTTTTTTTTTCTCGGTGTTAATCTTTTGTCATCGATATTTCAAAAAGGTCCAGAAGCCTCGCTGGCCACCATCTTGACAGTTAATGCTAATTGCTAACAGGTGACGACTGCTGCATTATTTGTTTTGATTGGCCAGTGACCTGTCAATCATCTTCAACTGTCTCATAACTATTTTTTTTGTAATTAACTGTGGACATCTGATGTGTCTGCTTTCCCCGCCCCTGTACCATTTTTGGCCCACTTGTCCATCCAATAATACGGTCGATCTTCTCACTAGTAGAACATGTTAAGAATGACTTATTAGTGAGCCAAACTATTAGTGGACAGCTTGGTGCTATTAGTGGGTTCCATGAGGCTACTAGTACGTGACAGATTACTACTAGTCGGGCCTGGTGGCGTTACTAGTGCAGCACATTAATTTAGTAGTTGCGTAGTATGAGGTCTAAGTAGTGGGGGGGAGATTGTCTTACTAGTTAAGATAAAGAGTGTAGTAGTGCATAGACCTTATTGGGATGTGGAATAAATGCTTAAATGGCAGCACTCATTCAACATCAAGGTTGTACTCGTAGGTTGAAAAACAAACACTAGTATCAGAAAGAAATAACCCGTACGTTTTTCTACTGCTGCGGATAAAGTGTGTACTGGTTGAATAAATACTCCAAATGCTTTCCATACAAGAAAAAGAAATGAATCGCAAGCGAGTCATTCTACTAGTGGGCTAATTATTATTTTTTTTTTTTGTATGAGCAGAGAATTTCATGAGTCTTACTAGTGAGTCCAATGGGTGTGCTAGTCCATGGACCTTGAACTGGGTATCAAGGATGTCAACTTTAAGGCCATTTGTGCAGCCGTTTCATTGCTATCCTTGGTAGTAATCTTTCGGTTGAACTAGTGGGCCAAAAGTGGCACTGGTCGTGGCAGCCATTTTGTGACACAATAGAAAACTTTGGAATGAAACCGTAGGAAAACAAAAAAAAAAAAAAAACGAAACTGGACTTTTATTAACGCGTGATGTCAAGTGCGCCTTCATGTGGCGGGAGCGGTCCTTAGCGCGCGGAGGTTGCGGGGCTGGAGGGAGGGTGGGGTGTGGGGGGGGCAGTTCTGGGTGTTTTTAGGGCGACGCTGTCCTAGAAGGTCTTCCTGTGGATGGCACGTGCTCTGTCTTCCTCATACTCCCGCTTGGACACCCACATCTTCTTGAAGGTGTCCAACGACGCCAAGATGGAGCCTCTGCGGGTGGGCGGGGCCACACAGACACATGTGTTACTTGCGACATGAATGCAACTTATCTTAACTTATTGACTGCTGCGGACGTTTAAGTTCCTCCAGAACGTTTTTTTCAGCGGCGAGGCCAAGGAAGAGAGTCTTGCTCAGTTTGTGTGAGCTTCTACGTGATTTTACTTACAAGCAAACGCCAATAGATGGCGGTGTTGCATCGCTTCAGATGGGAGATTTTTTTTTTTTTGTTGAATATATGTGTGGCATATTTGTTGAGTGCAAGATGGGAAAAAAAAAAGTCAGAAAGCGTTGTGTAATAACATAAACAACCGTTGGACCTACAGAACTAACTGCATTTCAAATCAAGCCCGAAAGCTCACGTATGATATGAATTAACAAAAACGTCAACGTTTTATAAATGTGTGGATAAACTCTTTTGCCATAGCTTAAATTCTATTATTTGTATTGTTACTCGATGTGAGTAGTGCCAACAGAACTCTGCTTCGAAAATGCCTGGCAGCCTATGAGTTAAAAAGAACAAGAACTAAACCAAAATTACCCGATCCACGTGGAGTACAGTCTCTCCTGGGGGGCCGAGATCTGCACAAACACACGCATTAGTCAAAATACGTTAGCAGGGGGAAGGAAGGGAGGATAGGAGAAGAAGTCTAACCTTGATTTTGACATCTTTGGGCGCAAGCTTCTTCACTTCAGTCAGTAATCGCTCTCCAAAGCCTGCGGGTGGGGCGTTTGGCGACAGACAGACAGGTGGCGAGCGCTCGTACCTTTGATGAGTGTGGACCCCCCGCACAACACGATAGTGGAGAAGAGCGTGCGCCTCAGATCTAAATCTGACTTCTGGATGGCGTAGGCCAGGACCTCGTGGATGCCCGAGCTCTCGTCGCCCACCAGGTCGGGCCGGAACAGCAGCTCGGGGGCACGGAAGCGGGCGGGCCCAATCTGAACGCAACGGCGGGATTGGTCAAGCGCCGCAAGGGGGCGGGGATTCGATGGCAGACAGGGGCCCACTCACGTTTAAGGCGCTCCCGTCGGGGAGGACGTACTGAGCCTTCTCCGTCTCCAGCGTCTCGTCCTTCTGAGGGTTCAGCGACAGGTAGCACGCCCTCTGGTGGGTAGCAGTTTTACAAAACGTTTTTGTAAAGATATGTTTATGTACATACTGTGGTGCCTTGAGATATGAGTGATGCGTCTTTCGGGTTTTTCAAGAGACGATCTGATGATGCACCAACTTTTTGACAGATAATATAACTGTAGTCAAGCACATATTCTTTATCCTCTGGAAAGACCAGGTAATATTACTGCAGCTTACTGACAATGTCCACGCGACTACTGCAAAAATTGGTTGAATTGCTCAATTATGCCTATACTGTTTGTTTTTTCAGAAAGTGATCTTGTTGTTCTTAATGTTTGAACACCACAAACGGGGCGAATATCAATCAAGCCACCAACACGCCGCCTCACCTCCTTGATGGTGCGCACCACCTCGAACTCGGCCGAGGTGTTGAAGTTGTAGCCTTCCTTGCGCAGGAGCAGGCGCAGGTAGCGCGACACATCCCTGCCGGCGATGTCCACGCGCATGATGGAGTGCGGGATGGCAAAGCCCTCGTAGATAGGCACCACGTGCGTCACGCCGTCGCCCGAATCCAGCACCACACCCGTGGTGCGTCCAGTGGCGTACCTGAGCAGGACGACAACCCTGTCAATCTCCACCACAGGTACTCCACGAATCCTTTCCGCTCCACGCTGAACTTTACGACCATCTCAATTTAGTGAAGAGCGCATTAAATGGCGCACTTACAAACTGAGCACCGCCTGCATGGAGATGAAGAGCGCGGGAACGTTAAAGGTCTCGAAGAAAACCTCGGCGGCCTTCTCGCGGTTCTTGCTGGGGTTGAGAGGCGCTTCGGTTAGAAGAACAGGATGCTGAGGAGCGCAAACAGAAACTGCTTGACAAATGACACTTTCCTCTTGGTCATCAGGAAGAGCGCGACGAGCCCACCTCCTCGGAGAAGGTCTGCAGCTGCTCCTTGGAGTAAACGTACTGCCAGATCCTCTCCATGTCATTCCAGTCCTTCACGATGCCATGCTCCATCGGGTAGCGAACTGACAGCAGACCACGGTGCTCCTGGCACACGTAAGCAAATATGTATAACACGCACACGTGTATTCAAGACACCCTCACGTCGGCACTTACCTCTGCTTTGGGCCCGATAAAAAGATCTCCCTCCAAGGCACCCGCCATGACGCGCACGTGTTTAGGACGCCCAACACTGCACCACACACAAAGTATTAATAGTTGCTTCACAATCAGTGCACGCTTGTGATCAAACCTGAAGAAGAGCCACCGGCACGACTTACTAGTTGGGAAAACAATATTTGGGGATCTGGTCTCCAGCAAAACCAGCCTTGATGACCCCTGAACCCTGCACACACAATTATAAAAAGCAGCAGCGTGATTCAACATGAAGAGTTTTGAGGAAGAGGAAGCTCATGAGACAGGGGCTTCAGGACACGCAAAACAACAAACGACTACTTTGTTTCATGAACATCAGGCCATCTGTGCTGGATCGCATCCCCCGCAAGCAAATGTCACATACACATGATTGGTTCAGCTCCACGATTATTCCGCACAGTCGTCATATTTAGGCGTGTGCAAAAATATTGATTAAGAAATACATTGCAATATTCTCCTCCACAATTGCATTTCAATTCAGCACTTTGTGCAAGGGGCACTCAAGTGTGATTTATAGAAATAGGGCTGCAACTAATCATTATTTTAATAAATATACGGACACATGGTTCACACGCATTACAATGATGACGGAACACAGGAGGTGAATCAATTTTTAGTTTGCTGCTGGTGGATACCGTACGGTAAGTTTAGCTCTAATTTCATGACTAAGAGCACTCCTCAAATAGACACCGACTTAATTATTTGAAAGTAAGCTTCAACCAAGCAACTTTTTTCAGAGTTCAAAAATGTTTTTTTTTTGTAAAATGCAGAAACAAAATTTGGGGTTGTTTGGATTCCTTACATTTTCTACTCTCTAGTTTCTTATCCAGGTTTTGGTTGTTAGTTTTGTTTTAAAAGAAAAACGATATATGCCGTGGAATGTTTTTCCTATTGTGGAAGACGACATTTCTGAGCATTTAAGGTTGCCCAGCCCTGATGTAGGCGAATTAAAAGCGGCATATACAACTGCAAAGTATTGTGATGATGAATCTAATTAGAAAAAATATATATATTCAAAACAAAATGTGAAGTGGTAAGTGTGGAGCTAGGCAGCATTTGCCATCTGTCATTTTGCAGGTTCATTAGCAGCCGGGTCAGCTAGCATTTGTTGCTAGCTCTCATTAATGTTAACTGGCTGAATGAGAAAAAAAAATCCCGGTCGATCTTCCGTTTCTGTTCGCCGTCAGTTATCGGTACGTATAATAATCGCGGAACATAATAATAAGGTGGTGGTATGGATAAGCAAAAGGCTGCGGCTTGCTACAAGACAAAAGCGCAGCTAAGCTAAGAGCTAGTCCGCGACGGCCTCAGTTTGGGTGTGGGGGTGAATGACGTCAACATACTCACGTTATCGATCACCACGGGCTGATTAGCTAAAATGTCATAGGACTCCATGACGGACGAGAATGTTGAGGCGCGCGTCTGTCGGCGTCCACTTTCGGTGCTGAATGACGTCCAAGGCGTGAGGGGAAAAAGACGTCCGCCCGTCGGTTCGTTCGTTCGTTCGCTGCGCCGATGAGCAGAGCGACCGCATCCGCCGCTGCAGTCCGCTCCGCCGCGCCTCTCCCGTCACGTCCCGCCCTCCGGCCACGCTATATGTCAGCACGGTGGCTGACAGCTGCTCTGGCGAGTCACAACAAAGCATTTGATGACAGACGAGATTCCGAACCAATAGGAATTAGGTCCAGTTTACGGCCAGTGTTTCGATTCCGCCCAGGTAGTTAGGGAGGATATTTACTGGAGTTGAGTAGATTTTTTTCAGGCCTCTGTTCTTAACTTGACTATGTACTTTTCTTCGAGGCCTAATGGAGGCAAAGATTTGTTTCTTAAATGTATGGTAGCTTTAACTCCGAACTACGAGTGATTTAATAATAATAATAATTATTAAAAAATAATAACATTTTATTTATAAGCGCCTTTCAAAACACTGAAGGACACTTTATAATCAAGAACAAAAACAAGAAAACCACAGCTAAGAAGTCTCGGATATGATACTAAAAATTGCGGCTGAGCAGGGGCAGCCAGACGCTCCAGCGTTCACTCAAACCGGATACTGTACTCACATATTCCTAATGAAAGCATCATTTGTGTCACATAGGATGATATTGTGCGGGTACAAGTAAATATCATCATGACACGCATTTTGTGGGATATTTCTTTTTCATTCTAACCTTGTGTTGTATTGATTTCGTGACTAAAATCATCCAGGATCCCTTCAACAGCCTGACCACCTTGTTTTTGTTTCCTACCTGTGCGGGTAACATCTTTTTGAACCTTGACACAGTTCAATACGTTGCTACATGCTAATGACTGAAATGTTACTTTTATTTTTATTGTGTTCTATCCATTTATTAATGTATACTTTTTAAAATCAAATATCAACTAGACTGACCATTGTTTTTGTTCCTCGGTGTCGGTGCTCTCATTTCCCACATTCTTCTCGTGTCCTGAATGTACCGGCCGACCAATCAGTGCAAGATTTCCAAAAGGGGGCGTGTCTCAGGAGGAATATCCGTCAAGCCCAAACACTGCAAAACTAGCTCAGTAGATTTCGAAACAAACAAACAAACATACAAACAGACAAACAAAAACCAAAGAGTGTAGAACTGGATGTATCGTTGCTTCAAGGTAAGTTTTGTGGTTGGGGTGTGCTTGTCTATCGACTGTTGTTTTATTCGTGATGTTTGTTAGTTTGTTTAGACTTCGTCGTTGACCCGAGCTAGCTGAGATAGCTTAGCTGTATCGTGTTCGCACTTGAAAGTTAAAACTTGTGGAGGGAAAAAAAAACCTTGTGATTGTAGCCCATATAAAGTTTATAGTTGTTCGCGCTGTCACTTAGTTTTGACCTAATAGCAACTTACGGGTTTTGCCACATATGTAGCCACTTGCTTTCATTTCTCAGAAATTTCTTAGAGTTTCACTTTTAGTTTGTCTGCCCCCCAAAAAATTGAGTACAGATTTTAGAGTGATAGTTAAACTGTGACACTGTTGTTTTTATAATTGTACATTATTAACTCTGTCAAGGCAAGTTTTGATTATGGGTTTAGTTTACTTTACTCCAACTAATGTTTCTAAAGGGTTTACTTAATGAAGTGTCTGCTGAATGTGCGTGTGTGACGTCGCGAAAGTGTCATGAAACATTGGTTAGTGATACTTTGGTTCGGCTAGCCTAACAAATGTTGCTTAATGTGACATTCCCACAGATTCTCTGATGGATTCATGCTAATGTGAAGAAGAAAAGCATCATGGCCGCCGCACTGGATGAGGAGCAGTCGGAGAAGTAAATCCACCACCGACCCCCACAAACATCCATTCCATTTTTCTTTTTGTTTTCAGTTTGGCGGGAGCCACCACCCTTTACTGTACCTCATCAAAAGCGCTTGTTGGCAATATACAATTAAAAGTTTGCCGCATGCTGTTCTGACAGACTGGAAATGACACATTTTACCTAGCAAAGGGGTGGCACGTAGTCACTTGTCTCCAGTTTGTCTACATCAGAAAATAATCCTAAATTGATTACTGTGTAAAGAAAAACAATAAATGCCATGAATGATCGCCACACATCTTTCTGAGGACCCCTTAGCTGGCCAACAAGGTGACTGTCATAAAATATCATAAGTTACACATCAAACTTTAATGTTGTGTGTACGTGTGCTTGCGTGTATGTTTGTGCGCATGTGTGTCAGGCACTGCTGGGTGTGTTTTGCCTCAGAGAGCGACGATCACAGCGCCCAGTGGCTGAGTCCGTGCCGGTGTAAAGGCTGCACCAAATGGATCCATCAGTCGTGTCTCCAGCGCTGGCTGGACGAGAGGCAGAAAGGAAGCGGGCCCGATGGTGATAGGAGCGGCGTGGGCGTCAGCTGCCCTCAATGCGGCACGCACTACCACATTGTCTTTCCTAAAATGGGTACGACAAATTTTCTTTCAGCACACAACATAGGGACAGACGGCTGTCGCTTTGGCCAAATTGTTTCGACTGTCTCACAGAGTATGCTTGTTGTAATAAATATGAGCGTTGATTCATTGTCATATTTTGCCAGGTCCGCTGGTGTACTTTCTGCAGCAGGTGGACCGCGTGCTATCTCGGGCCAGTCCGCTGGCCGCCTTTGGGGTGCTGGTGGGCACAGCATACTGGTCTGCCGTCACCTACGGCGCCGTGGCCGTCATGCAGGTTAGTTGAAGCTTGCGTGTGCGTTTGTGTGCGTGGTCTCACAGTGTTTATGTCGTGGCGCTCAGGTGGTCGGACACAAGAAGGGTCTAAATATGATGGAACGTGCCAACCCTCTTTTCCTGCTCATGGGTCTCCCTGCCATCCCTGTCATCCTGGTCCTGGGGAAGATGGTCCACTGGGAAGATTTCCTGGTGCGCCTGTGGTTCCGATATTCCTACCAGCGACAATACGGTACACTCACGCATGCATACATACACGTGCGCATGCAGTGTCAGGCTGCGTTGTCACTGGTGTGTTGTTGTTGTTGTTGTTGTTGTGCGTCGTTAGCTGTAAGAGGCTACCTCCCTCCCCTGCCGGCGGAGGGAAACCACGTGTCAATGTCGCGGATCCTCTGCGGCGCTCTGGTCCTCCCGTGGATCTCCAGCCTGCTGGGACGTCTTCTTTTCCGACGTGTGTCCTCCAACCTGCAGCAGAGCCTCCTGGTGAGCTTCGCTGCGATCGATTCAATGAGAGTACTTAGAAGCATATACTGTAGTTCTAACAAAACCTGCAGCAGAGCCTCCTGGTGAGCTCGCTGCGATTGATTCAGTGAGAGTACTTAGAAGCATATACTGTAGTTCTAACATAATTAAACAGAATCGAAAGAAGTATAATACGCACACGCAAACGAAGAGGAATTGCACAACTGCTAAAAGTGACTCTCTTTGTTGTTTTTATCTGTTGTTATCTGAACCGCTTTATCCTCACTTTTTGACAAAATAAAGACCATAGGTGAAGTTGTGAATTTCCAAACCTAGTTGGCTGAACACGTTCAAGGATAAGCAAGAGAAACAAGACTTATGTGGTCCTCCGTCCACAGGGGGGTGCCACCTTTGTGCTGCTGAAGGGGTCGCTGAAGGTCTACGTCAAACATCAGCGGCACGTCACGCAGACCAAGCGAGACATCCTCAACTACCCGGACACCCGCGACACCGCCACCAGTCCGTGACAAGACCGCCGACTGAAATGAGAAAATTCCTCCCAAGTCGTGTTGCGTAAAACAGTTTCAACAGACTGAAAAGTGTATTACACAATCCGACTCAAGGCAATAACAAGCCTCTCGGTCCACTCGGCAACACTCGGACAAGTTGCAGCAAAATTGGCAGTGTTGTTATGCAGCATTTTAATTTGACTTTTGACAGAATATTTTGCCACATTGTTATTGAGCAGACGAGTCGGCCTATTGTCAGAATTCCGAAAACAGGAACAACATTTGATTGGACTAACTTGTCTCAAACCAAATCATAGGAAAAGTTTGGCATACAAATTCCACTGTATGGATTTACTCACCCAACGTCGGGTGTGGAATTTTTAGAGTGACCCAAATTGCATATTTGTAGGTGAACTTAATTCCATGAACATACATTTCACAATGGATGTACACCAGGTTAAATGTACATTTGTTTAAAGTAAGGTTTGAGTTTTTTTTTAATGAAATAAGGCATGAAGTCAAAATAATGTGAAAGATTTAGTTTCTGTTCTTTGATGTTGAAAGTAGATGTAATAAGACTGGATTTTTTTTTTAGATTTCGTGCCTTCTACTCGGAATTGTGCATTTCTCCAAAGTTCTGAGTTGGATTTATTCAATAAAACCACCGATGAACCTGTCAATGGAATTTTTCCAATATTCCTTTCATTAAATTGGTTTGTTCTTTTGTTTGGTTTTGGTGTCGTGTTTTTTACGGAGGGAGCAATTCCCAATTTTTAGTGGCAAACGCACACACAAGTTTCCCAATGTACTTCAGTGGGGATTTTTTTTTTTGGGGGGGGTGAGGGATTTTCGCGGGCCTCACGTATTTTGTCCATATTAAAAATGGACAAAATACGTGACTATCCTTCCCCCTGTAGAAAAATTGTGCGAGGTTTTGAAGGAATGGGGCAGCGTTTTCCATTTGCGCGTGCGGAACTTTCGTTTGGTGTTGCAGTTTTCCACACGGAGCCTTTTTGTTGCGTCCCACTCAATTTGCCTCTTCCTCTCGCTCGCCTCGGCCGATTTGTTGTCTTGATCTCTTCTTTTCCATTGTCGTCGTCTTTTTGGGCTTGAGTTCTGAGCTTGTCGGCTTTGATGGCGGGAGGAGGCGGAAGTTGTTTATTTAGCGGCTTCCGGATTTTAGGGCTTTATTGCAACCACGTGCCGCACGTGCTTCGCTATCATCGCAAGCATCGGGAGTTCTACCTGGTGACGTCAGTCGGGAAATGTTTGCACACGTACAACGTAAGAACCAAAACTTTGGCTGTTACCCCTGATCAAATTGAGAAAGTGTTTCTGAGTTGACCGTTTTGTTATGTCTATATTTTGCATTGTATCCTGTATTGCAACTGGACGTGTTGGGCTGTATGTTATACAGTACAACTGTATGAAAAAAATTCTTTTTTTCCCGATTGTCCTTGGACGTTCTCTATACAACTTTCCAATGTAACAAAAATGTCGTGAAGGACCTCATTGGTGCTCTGACATCATTTTCATTTTTTTTCTGTGTTCCAGGTCAATCGTTTGGGCATCGTCGCCGTCAGTGAGTATTTGTCTTTGTTTTGCTTGACCACAAAGTGAAGCGTGCCCCGTGGACTCCGATTGATGATGATCTGTGATGGGGGTCACATAGGTAACAGCCTCCAGGATGACATCACTTGCTTGGCAGCAGACAGGATGTTGACATTCGCCGCAGCGGGCTCGCTTGTGTATGCCTTCGCCAAGAACAAAGAGGTCGGATGACATGGCTGTGGGAGAGGGCGGGGCTTAGAATATGCGACGAGTGGGGCCTTGAATATTCTCTGTGAGGCAGGTGGTGATGTGTTACCGTGGACACAAACATGAAGTGCGCCTGCTGCTTCCTTTCGGTGACCAGCTGATCTCTGCTGATGGCAGTGGGCTCGTCATCGTCTGGGACGTTCATCGTGGTGGTGAGGTCCTCCGTCCATCATTCGTGTACCTATGTGTGTGTCTATGTTTATAAGGGTGTGTGTTTGTGCTTGGGCTTGTGTGTACGTGCCTGCGTGTTAGTTTGTCTCTCTGTATGTTTCCATGGGTGTGATTTGTATGACGCGTTCTCTGCTTCCTCCGGCAGACGTGTATGTGGAGCTGAACTTTGACCCAACCACCTTCGACGTGTCAGCCATGATGCACCCCAGCACGTACCTAAACAAAGTCCTGCTGGGAAGTTCCCAGGGTGCTTTGCAGCTCTGGAACCTCAAGACCAGGTTAGCTACGAGCACGCTAACCCACCATCCAACCGAGGATAGGCGAGACCACCTGCAAATACAAATCTGCAACGTGTGCTCCACAAAAAAACGTATCAATGAATATTGATGCATTGCATGTTTTTGAATCATCACGCTAACTTTTTTGTGTGTGTGTGTGTCTTTTGTGTTGGGTTCCACTTGTGTCTTGCGGCGTCCAGCAAGCTGTTGTACACATTTGCCGGCTGGTCGGCAGGTGTCACTGTGCTGCAACAGGTGAGTTTGTGCGTTTGCGTGTGAGAGATTTGTGTATATGTGCTAGATATTTGTATACAGTGTGGGCGTGCGTGTGTGCGTGTGTGTGTGTGTGTGTGTGTGTGAGAGAGAGAGAGACCTGTTTGTTGTTGTGTAGTGATGCAGTGAGCCCCCATAAATTGTGCAGGATGCATTCAAGACCCACAAGAAAATCTGCCATATTTAAAGAACTCATTAAAAAAAATAGTTTTATCCCCTATAAAAATGTTCAAACAAAACGGTCTTTTATCTTAATGCTCGTGTTTAAACTCAAATGTCACAGATAAGTTAAGGGAAATGAGCATGGATTTTTGCCGTTATTCCAAACCTTCGAACAACTGCTGCTTCTGTTTATCTTCAAGAGAACCTCAAGACCAGGTTAGCTACGAGCACGCTAACCCACCATCCAACCGAGGATAGGCGAGACCACCTGCAAATACAAATCTGCAACGTGTGCTCCACAAAAAAACGTATCAATGAATATTGATGCATTGCATGTTTTTGAATCATCACGCTAACTTTTTTGTGTGTGTGTGTGTCTTTTGTGTTGGGTTCCACTTGTGTCTTGCGGCGTCCAGCAAGCTGTTGTACACATTTGCCGGCTGGTCGGCAGGTGTCACTGTGCTGCAACAGGTGAGTTTGTGCGTTTGCGTGTGAGAGATTTGTGTATATGTGCTAGATATTTGTATACAGTGTGGGCGTGCGTGTGTGCGTGTGTGTGTGTGTGTGTGTGTGTGTGTGAGAGAGAGAGAGACCTGTTTGTTGTTGTGTAGTGATGCAGTGAGCCCCCATAAATTGTGCAGGATGCATTCAAGACCCACAAGAAAATCTGCCATATTTAAAGAACTCATTAAAAAAAATAGTTTTATCCCCTATAAAAATGTTCAAACAAAACGGTCTTTTATCTTAATGCTCGTGTTTAAACTCAAATGTCACAGATAAGTTAAGGGAAATGAGCATGGATTTTTGCCGTTATTCCAAACCTTCGAACAACTGCTGCTTCTGTTTATCTTCAAGAAGAGCTCAGTGCTGCCTGTTGTGGTACTACACAGAAGGAGTCCAACTCCTGGACTTTCAGACTTGCTTATATCCTACATTAAAAAAGTCTGCAACTTAGCGGGGGTTCCCTGTAATTGTCGATTTTGAACTGGACAGAGCCCGGCGGTGGATGTGGTGGGCGTCGGCATGGCAACAGGCCGCATCATCATTCACAACATCCGAGTGGATGAGACGCTGATGTCCTTCATGCAGGACTGGGGACCGATCACCTCGCTGGCTTTCCGGACAGGTGAGTGTGTGTGGTTTCTATGTGAATTTGTTTTTTGGGTGACGTGGGACTCTGCCTCCCCTCGCAGACGGGCCACCCACACTAGCGGCAGGAAGCCCTCAAGGTCACGTGGCCTTATGGGACCTGGAGCGGCAGCAGCTGGCGGCTCAGCTAAGACACGCCCACAAGACGGCGGTCAACGCCAGCTTTCTGCACAACGAACCGCTTCTCATCACCAGCGCCGGCGACAACGCCATTAAGGTTGGCGCCCCCGCCGCCGTGGTTAGCGCCAACCGGACCTCCGACCGCTTCACACCTTTTTGTTTGGCTTTTCTTCAGGTCTGGATCCTGGACCAGGAAGGGGGAGGAGCCAGGTTGCTGAGAAATCGCCAGGGTCACAGTGCTCCACCCACCACCATCTGTCACCATGGTAATGACGGCAAAAACATCCTCAGCGCAGGTAAGCAAAAAATGCAGAAGAATCAGGACGGCAGGAGGTTCCATTTTCCATTCTGGTGGTCAAAAGAAAATGTCTCCCCCTTCAGGGCAAGATGGGACACTGCAGTCTTTTTCCACCGTCCATGAGAGATTCCACAAGAACCTTGGACACGGTCTGACTCCGCCTACCCATAACTCAGTCACCACTTGATTGGTTCTTCAAGTGTGTGTGTGTGTGTGTGTGTGTGTGTGTGTGTGTGTGTGTGTTTAGGCTCCATCAGCAAAAAGAAAGAGCAGAAGAAGAAGAAGGGCTTGTCGTATGAGGAACTGCGGCTGCCCGCAATCACTGCCTTCTCCTGCGGTTGGCGCTCGCACACACATTGACAAATCCTCTCAGAGTTAAGATGGCCGAGGTGACGTCGCTGCTCACCATGTTTCTTGACAGCTACAGCCCGCCAATCAGACTGGGACGGCATCGTGGCGTGTCACCGTGGTCGCCTGGCAACCACCACTTGGAACTACCAGCGCTGTACCATGGGGGCGCACCACCTCAGACCGCCGGGAAGCGGCAGCAACGCCGTCGCCGCGGTAATCGCGGCGCTCACAACACTCACCTAACAGCGGCGCGCTGCCGGCCTTTACGCACTTACGCCACTTCCCGTGTCATATCCCAGGCGGTTGACATCACTTCCTGTGGAAACTTTGCGATTGTGGGGTCTTCGTGCGGCCGCGTTGACATTTACAACTTGCAGTCCGGATTTCATCGCGGTTGTTATGGAGACGAGCACAAAGGTGATTCCCGCCACTCTTCTACCCTCTGCGGTTTTACCCCCCCCCCCCCCCCCCCCCCCCCCCCCCACACTCCCTTCCGGTAACTCCGCCTTTTCCCAAAAGCTCACAGGGGGGCAGTGCGAGGCGTGGCCACTGACGCCCTCAATCAGCTGACTTTCACCACCGCGTCTGATTGCTTGCTCAAGTTCTGGCGCTTCAAGACCCGCAAACAAGAAGACCAGATCAAGCTAAGTGCGGCGCCCGCGACCATGAAGCTACACAGGGACAGGTACTCGCATGCACAACCCCCCCCCCCCCCCCCCACACACACACACACACACACACACTCACTCACAAATGTCTTCCTCTCAGCGGTATGCTGGCAGTGGCTCTGGATGACTTCACGTTGCTGATCGTTGACGTCGAAACCAAGCGAGTGGTCCGCAAGTTTGCGGGTCACCACGGCAACACCAACGACATGGTGAGTGACTTGCGATCAAATGATGAACCCGTACACATCCTTCCAAGTTTTTGGGGGGAAAAAAATGAAAATAAAAAATAGCACCAGACCAAGTCATTTGTGATCTCAACTTTGAAACATCGCGTTGACAAAAAAAAAAAAATAAAAAAAGTCAAATGGGCAATAATGTACATTGTGCCTCATACAAGAAATACACGTGCTCAAAACAGCCATTGGGCTTTCCATTGATCCTTTGTTTGATTTTGTCTGTTGTCAGACTTTCAGCCCAGACGGTCGCTGGTTGATCACCGCTGGGATGGACTGCACCATTCGTACGTGGGACCTCCCTTCTGGAAGGTAAGAGCTGAATTTCTCCCCGTTTCAAAACTAAAAAGTGCTTCAAAATCTTGTTTCGTGTGCAGCCTGGTGGACTGCTTCCTGATTTCCATGACGCCAGTGGGTGTGTCCATGTCCCCGACTGGAGATTTCCTGGCAACGTCACACGTGGACAGCCTGGGCATTTGCTTATGGTCAGCCGGCACATTTTCACTTTCTCTTCGCGCAATTGACAGCAGCCAATCACAAGGCGGGCTCTCCTCCTCAGGACCAATAAGAGCCTGTGCGGGCCTGTCGGGCTCCGTCCACTCCCGGCCGACTACCAACCAGAGGCGGAGACTCTGCCGGGCGGAGGGGCACTGGAAGCCGAGCAGGAAGTGACAGAGGAGGAGGAGGGGCCTGACGAAGCATACAGTTCGGCGGAGCAGCTGGGGGCGGAGCTTGTGACGCTCTCGCAGCTGCCGGAGTCGAGATGGAAACATCTGCTGTGCCTGGACACCATCAAGGTACACGGATGGTGTCATGTGACGCATGATGTCATGACCAAAAGCTCATGTGAATGTGAATGAGATTCTGGTGGTGGTCACATGTTGAACACACAACACTGGGCCACATGACACACACCAAGTAACAAATGATGGCGGGATGTTTTCAGAGGAGGAACAAAGCAGTGACTCCGCCCGTGTCGGGAGCGTCGGCGCCCTTCTTCCTGCCCACTGTGCCAGGCCTCACACCGCGCTTCTCCCTACCGCAGGATGAAACGCAGGTTCGCATTCATCGCACTATTTTATAGCTTTACATCCACCAACATTCATCACAGTCGTATTAATAATCGGGTGTGTTTGTTTCAGTCAAAAGTGCTGAGCTGCAGTCTGCCCTCTCAGAGGTCAAAGTTCAGTTGTGCTCTGGAGGCGGGGCTTGACGCAGGGTCGTGTGAGTGCATTCACTCAAAACTGGATTACATCTATTATAATTCCATCATGAGGATTATGATTATTTTATTTTTTTTTTGTCCAATCAGTCGCAGTTCCCGTGGAGCTTTTGAAGAGTTTCGGTCCATCTGCTGTGTCAGTCGAGCTTGCGGGTCTGTCACCTGAAGGGGGCGGAGCCAGCAGCCTCTTTTTGGCCTTCATTCGCATGATTGACAGCATGCTGGCCAGTGGGCGAGACTTTGATCTGGCGCATGCCTATCTGTCACTGTTTCTCAAGGTAACAGACACTGCGTTCAGAATCATTCTCTCATTTCCTGCGCCCCAATCACTCTATATATGTATTATGCGGTGAACTATGTAGTTGACTCTCGGGTCAGAACGATTAATTGAATCATACCTAATCACGATAGATTTTTATGTGGCATGTAGGAAGGGATGATCGGGTATGATACATTTTGACTTCCTGTTTGACAGCTTCACCTCCGCTCGCTTACATCCACCAACATTCATCACAGTCGTATTAATAATCGGGTGTGTTTGTTTCAGTCAAAAGTGCTGAGCTGCAGTCTGCCCTCTCAGAGGTCAAAGTTCAGTTGTGCTCTGGAGGCGGGGCTTGACGCAGGGTCGTGTGAGTGCATTCACTCAAAACTGGATTACATCTATTATAATTCCATCATGAGGATTATGATTATTTTATTTTTTTTTGTCCAATCAGTCGCAGTTCCCGTGGAGCTTTTGAAGAGTTTCGGTCCATCTGCTGTGTCAGTCGAGCTTGCGGGTCTGTCACCTGAAGGGGGCGGAGCCAGCAGCCTCTTTTTGGCCTTCATTCGCATGATTGACAGCATGCTGGCCAGTGGGCGAGACTTTGATCTGGCGCATGCCTATCTGTCACTGTTTCTCAAGGTAACAGACACTGCGTTCAGAATCATTCTCTCATTTCCTGCGCCCCAATCACTCTATATATGTATTATGCGGTGAACTATGTAGTTGACTCTCGGGTCAGAACGATTAATTGAATCATACCTAATCACGATAGATTTTTATGTGGCATGTAGGAAGGGATGATCGGGTATGATACATTTTGACTTCCTGTTTGACAGCTTCACCTCCGCTCGCTGGCTCAGGATGCCGTCGCCATGGAAGCGTTGGTCGGTCTCTCCTCACGGCTGGAGGCAGGGTGGGCGGAGCTCCGGGCATCCTTCAATCAATCGCTTTGTTTGTTGACGTATGCCAAGAGTGCACTTTTGTGAACACACACTCAGGCATTGTACATGTCCATGTTCTCCTCTGTTCACAATAAAAAAAAAGCTTGTTTTTGACTTCAATGTATTTTATTAAACCCCATGAACACCTGACAAATGGCTTCATGCTAATGTTGAATTTCAAGCATGAGTATTGTCAAGAGGTTTAATGTGTGCGAAAACTTTTATAGACGAGTCATTCATCAGTAGACAGCAAGAGTGCATAAGAATGGTGCGTTTTTGAGGAACAAAGTGAAGAAAGACATGAAGAGCGTTGCTATTTCAATTACGTTTATTTTGAATTCATTTGCTTCAGTCAATGGCAAACGTCAAGGAAAACTGAGGGGATTGACAATTACTTTTATCATACATGCCAAAAAGACCAACATGCAACGAAGAATGAAATAAAAGTTTTAAATTCAGAAGAGGAGATGTAAATGATTTGTTTTTGTTTTAACAAGTTCACAACAACGCAGCACGTGACGTCATACACGTCATTTCCGTACACGCAAGATGGCGGCGTCCTTATGGACCGTGTGGGGCCGGAAGATTTGCAGGTATTTTGAATTTCGGGGGATTTTGATACTTTTGAAAACTTGAAACACGTGGCAATACGACAACAGTGCGATTGAAGTTGTGACGATTTTAAAACGCGACGCTTCCATTGTGTACGTGTGGACATATGACGTGCACAGTGTGACCAATTTCATGATGATCACGCTATCGATCAATATTGTCGTTAGAGCCTGTTTACCTTTTGCTGATGGCTTTCTAGCTCCGTTCCTTAGTGTACTTTGTGACAAGATGGCATAAAAAAACACTGAAGGGACCTTTAGTCGTAATTACGCATTCAAAATGTTTGGTTCTTCTCTCAACTTCCCGTGATTGTCACGTGAACAGGCGGCGTCAACCTCACGAGCTCATTCTGCTGCAATCCTAAACGTTGTTGCATTCAGTGATGAAGTCCGGTCTGATGAGAGGCCAAACCCCTTCTTTTGGGCTCTTGGTAGCTCTTACTCAACATTCAAGCAGCGCACGGGGTTCTGCCATAAATTTTCCCTCGCATAATTTTCTGAAATTACCAAATTTGAATCGCAGCGGCACAATGTGGCCCCGTTAAAAATTGTAGCCAATCAAAATGCACCGAATCTTTCACTCTGGCACTGAAGGGGCATGAACTGCAAAACACCTCCCTCCGCCCATTAAGGGTATTTCAGTTCATTCACAACATCAAGTGCGCACACAAATCGCTCATGAAACACAAAGTTGGCTTCTCCTGTGCTACACTAAAGCCATCATACAATTGGAAGTGCCATAGACGAGCTAGCGGAAATGATCGGTGCCACACAAACGGAGGTGTCGCTATGCTAGTGCTGATATTAATTTGGATGTTTCAGATTTCGCCCTGTGAACTGTAGCCAGCGACGTTTCTTCAACTCTGGTAAGTTGAAAAAAAAACGATTAAAAAGTTATTTTTATTTGAAATCAGCACCTTTAAAAGGAGGCGGGGCCTACTGATAACCAACCACCTGTCTCCTTTCTGTCAGGTCGCGGCTTCCTTTTGCGTCCCCGGCCCCTCCCGCTCCTGTTGGTGACAGGCGGTGGTTACTATGGTTACCAGCATTACAAGAGGCGGGACCGGGAAGATGAAGCCCCACCCGCACTAGCCACCCCCACTCAGGTGAGAAGTTGCTGCTGTAGGGTTGGGGTGGGCGGACCCTCTGTGTGAAGTCGAAAGTGGGCCAAGCCCTGCGGGGGATTTAAACACAAGAGTTGTCGCCCTCGAGTGAGAATCGAACAACGGCCGCATGGTGAGCGGCAGCTCTTGTCGCCACCACCTCGGGGCGTGTAGTAGGCGTGATGCAACGTGTAGTAAGCGTGACCCGCTGCGACGTGTTGGCAGAACAAGGGAGGGAGAAAGAGGGGGAGGAGGTGGAAGGGTGAAGCGAGCAGCAGCTCGACTCAGGTAATATAAAAACTCGTGTGTGTGTGTGTGTGTGTGTGTGTGTGTGTGTGTGTGTGAGATATGGTTGGTGTGTGGATGTGCACGTGTAATTGGCATATACAGTGTATGATATTTGCGTTGTGTGTGTTTGTGCATGTAGATATTTGTGTGTGTGTGTGTGTGTGTGTGCGCGCGCGCGCGCGCAGTTAGAGCATGAGATGCTAATTCTGCTTGATCCTGTGTTAACCCACTTAGCACACACACACGCCCTCAGAATTGTCCCCTGCATGGATGTTTGCGTGTGGGTGTGTGAGAGACCAGCTCCTGAGTTAGTTTGAAGTAAATAAGATGATTACAGTCGTCCCTCGTTTATCATGTAGGTTACCGAACACCCCGCCATCGACAAAATTCTACAATGTTGGGACCATCTGGCTTTATTTTTCGATTTATTTGAATCGTTTGATGCATTAATACTGTACCAAGCCAAACTATATATGTGAGGTGTTATTATTTTTGTCCGCTTTGGGTTGCTATCCTCATGTTCTACACTGTAGTATCAGTGCTTTTGAATGCTTGTGGCTTAAAATGGCGGTGAGTGACGTGGGTGTCAATGGATGAGAGCCTGCACTAGGGGCTAACCGTTAGCCACACTGACTTAGTTCCAGCCATGCGAATGGAGCATCAGTGTGCTTGTGATGCATTTTAAGAAGCAAAAAAATATCTGCGACACGAAATGAGGCAGGCAGACTTAAAAAAAATCTGCTGCACCATATGTCCGCCCAAAGGGAACCGCGATGTGACGAGGGACGACTGTAGTTGTTGGACGTTTTCGAAGGTTTCGCTTCCTTCCTGTCCTCTTCCTCATCAAATGAATGAACCAATCAGACTGCAGTTGCCACATTTGGCGCGTCGTCACCTGAGTGCGCTCGGCGCGCGCGTGCGTGGCTCCGCCTCTTGGCGTCGCTGGCCAATTGCATTCCTCTGCTACTTCCTGCCTGTCCGCACGCTGCAGCCACTGGCCAATCGCGTGAGGGCCTCACTCTTATTGGAGCCAGACCGCATCTGACCGCTCGCCCTCCTCCTGTTCACGTGCAGTGTCGTGTGCGTCTCGCAGGTGGCGCTATATCGCTCCTTCCCCACCCGCCTGCTGTCTCGAGCTTGGGGTCGCGTCAACGGGGTGGAGCTTCCGACATGGCTGCGCAAACCCGTCTACTCGCTCTACATCTGGACCTTTGGAGTCAACATGCAGGTCAGGACACAGAACATGCATGCACGCACACAATCTAATATCTCACGGCGCTACAAAATCAGCGTCATTATTTGGGGAGTTCGTGTTGATTGGACCGGAGCCACGTTGTGGTCACCGTGCTGTGTCGTCCAATAGGAAGCAGCAGTGGAGGACTTGCGTCTCTACCGCAATCTCGGAGAGTTTTTCCGGCGCCCTCTCAAAGAGTCAGCGCGGCCGCTTTGCTCCGCCTCCTGCCTGGTAAGACTTCCTTCACAAGCTCCTCCTTTTTCCCCCCACTTTTTTATCCACATGATGATGATGATGATGTCACTGTGGTGAATGACCGTTGACATGTGATGTCAGGTATCTCCAGCAGATGGCAGGATTGTCCACTTGGGTCGTGTGTTGAGTTCAGAGGTGGAGCAAGTGAAGGGGGTCACATATAGTCTGGAACACTTCTTGGGGCCGCAAGATGGACACAGCAACCGTGAGAGAAACAACACCCGCATCACAGCACACATGCCACTCTGCTTCGGACTCCCAAACTGATCACCATAGGGACTCCTGTCAAAGCGAATTTGATTCTGGGACTTCAAAATTCACTTTTGGATGTCTAATGATGCCGAAAGTGATCCTCAAACTCACTCCCAAAGTGACTCCAGTAACAAGTCCTATCGTGACTCCTGTATTGATTCGTAAAATGACTCCCAATGTAACCTGTGAAAGGACTTCCGCGGAAACTGCCAAAATTACTCCCACAGTGGAAGTGATTGACCAAGTGATGCCAAAAGTGACCTTCAAAATGATTCCAGTAGTGACTCTTGAACTGACTCCGATAATGATTCCTGTAATGACTTAATCGGTGACCTCATGAGTGACTCACAGCGTGACTCCGAATGTGACTCCCTTAGTGACCTCGGCCACGAGTACAGAGTCGTCGCCGTCGTCGTCGTCGTCCTTCCGGGACGGACTCCTGACGAGTCCCGACAACGACCTGTTCCACGCTGTTGTGTACTTGGCCCCCGGTGACTATCATCGCTTCCACTCGCCCGCCGACTGGACGGTGGCGCTCAGGCGACACTTCACAGGTCAGCGCGCGCGGCTACCACTTGTGTGCATACGTGTGTGTGTGCGGCGTTAATTAAGTGAACCTGCGTGGTGGTCAGGTTCGCTGCTGTCGGTGAGTCCGGGCGTAGCGGGCCGGGTGAAAGCGCTGTTTTGCCTAAACGAGCGCGTGGCTTTGAGCGGACGATGGCGACACGGCTTCTTTTCCTTGACGGCCGTCGGCGCCACCAACGTGGGATCCATCCGCATCTACTTTGACCAAGTCAGTCGGCGCTCACGCGCACATACACACTCACATATACACGCATGATTCTCAAAGTGACCCCTGAAGTGATTCCCATTGTGATTCCCGTTGTGACTGCAATAGTGACCCAACTCCAATTGTGACTCTCGCAGAAAAATCCTAAAATGGTTCACAAATCGACTCCAGGCGTGACTCCCGTAGTGACTCCAATCAGTTCAAGAAACCTTCTCAAACTGACAGTAATAGTGTCTCCAGTAGTCTCTTTCAAAGTGACTCCAGCAGCGACTCCCAAAGTGATTCTGAAAAAAAATTGACTCCTCACATGACTTCTGAAAAGACTCTTACAATGAGTCAAATAGGTGTGACTTTCCAAGGGTCGCCGGTCATGACTCCTTCAGTTACGCCATCGCTCGAGGGCAGTGGAAATGCAAAGAATGCACTCCAATGCCCTGCCAAGTGGGCAAGGAGAGCCACGGCCGCTCATGCACTTTCATTCGTTTCTTGAAACACACCAATACAAAATGAACACACTTGCTCGGAGCATGAAGCGGACGCTGAACTAGCCGCATGGTAAACACCCAACGCCACCGCTTTGACTTGCGTACGTCGCTCGCTAGGTCACGCCCCTTAAAGGCAAACATCAGACACGTATTCAAAAAATTACAAGAAGCATGGAGGAGACCCAAAGCTAACGTGTTGTTTACTATGTCCTATTGGTGCCTCTTTCAGGAGCTGCAGACGAACGCGCCCGGCGACAAAAAAGGCCATTTCCACGACCTGCGTTATGCGGCGGGGGCGGAGATGGCCAAAGAGGGTGTGGCCCTGCAGCGGGGGGAGGCGGTGGGCGAGTTTAATTTAGGCTCTACAGTGGTGGTACTCTTCGAAGCCCCCAAAAGTTTCGCCTTCAGCGTCAAGCCGGGACAAACTGTCAGAGTGGGCGAGGGGCTGGGTAGCCTCTGATTGGCCGAACCAGCTGGGTTGAACTTGAACTTGGGGAGGAGGGCGAGAGGGGACACTTGCCCGTGGGGAAACATTGAGGACATATCCCACAATGCCTTGCAGCTGCTGTATTGGAAATCTTGGAAATAATCATGTCAAATCAAGTCCTTGTTTTTTTGTTTTTTTTAAGAGGTAGAGGAAAGTTATGTTTCAACCACCACTTTCTGATTCAAGCCCCGCCCCTAAAAGACTCCAATAATCAGCGGCTCTTTGGTTGAGTTGTACAGTGGACCAATGCACATTTGGAGATTTTTGGGGGGGTGAAACCATTCCTTTGTTGTTTGGTGTGTAACGCATTCGCATTTTGCATTTTAAATTAAATGCCCTGCTTATTTGCAATTTGAAAAATAATTAACATCAAATTGCATCAATTATTCTTGGATTTTTTTGGGGGGAGTGGCCCAATCCCATCCCTGCTTATTGCCGTTGTTTTGATGGTTATTTTTTAATTTTATTTATTAAAAAAAAAACATTTCAAGAAAATGCTTTAAAAAATTGCCAATTGCAGATTTTCGCTGTTCACATGCTAGCCGGGTCCTTATCCTCTGCGAAGAGCGGGGCTCCACTGTAGCTGAATTTCACAAGCTGGCTTTAAGCGGAGACATTTTGTCATCTTTGGTCGTGACCCATTCTGATCTGATGTAAACGTCGCACGATTTCTCAAGATGGACCTCAATCATCTATTGCGCACTAGTTGCGATTGTTTTGACATTTTTATTGCAGGATTTTATTTTATACACGGCTCCATGGAAACCCGACCTCTCGGTGCCAGTGAGGAAAGTTGGTTACTCGGGAATTCAGGTCAAGGCACCATGGGAAAATATCAGGTCCATTTAAACTATTTGATGCTTCAATGGTGATTAGACACCGCCCCTTATTTTATCCCCGCCCCGGGCAGCAGCAGCAACACAACCAATAGGACAGCGGCTTACAGCAGTTGGCGTGGCGATGAAAGCGAGGTTCCGCGAGCCCCCCGTGCGACCACGCGTCCTCACAGGTCACGTCCTTGGTCGCCCATGTGATCTTCTTCCCGTTCCCGGCCACAGCCCCGTCGCCGCTCGACCCCGCCTCGGCAATGCAGGGGGCGGGGCCAGCGTGCGTCTTGAGGGCCAGGAAGCAGGTCAAATTGAGGTCCAGCGCGGCAGCGCCCCCGCGGGGACGAGGCGTGTTCTGGCGGCATTGAGGACACGGGATCCACACCTGACCAAGACCAAACGGGAAGTAAGGTTGGTTGACGCGCAATCCTTCTTTGCACACTAAGTAGCATCTCAAAAATATGAAACCACGTATGTGTACGTGTACTGCGAATAAAATCAACTTGACTTGGGCGAGTGGCCAGCTGCTGGCACGACTTCCTATGTCGGGGTCAGGAAGTCACCTGCTCGTTGATGACGATGTCCAGTCGCTTGATGCACGCCTGGCAGAAGGTGTGGCCGCAGTGAAGTTGCCGCGGCAACCGCGCTGCCAGATCGTAGCGGCCGAAGCACACGATGCAACGCAGGGATGCCGCCGCCGTCAAGGCGCCACGCGTTTCTTCCGCTTCATGGGACATTTTCATCTACACACGCACAAGCTTATGATCAGTTGTCATATGACATAACCAAAACTATCATATAAATGTATTGTATTACGCCATAACATGCCAGGGGAGCGCTGAGCTTGATTGGAACAGATCCAGAGGCGTTAAATGCAAGAGGCAGAGAAAGTCCCCTACAAAGCTCAATAAATAATTCCCACGTACATCACAGAGAGAATTCAGTGCTGTGGAAAAAAATATTTTCCCCCTACACAAATTTTGTTTGCATAGTTTCCACACTTGAATGCTGAAGATGATCGTCAAACAAAGATAACCCAAGTAAACATTAAAAAGCAAACGGCGATGAGGGAGGGGCTTGCTTCAAACTTACCTGATGATGTCACATCCTGTCTGTTTTGGATTTTGTGCTTCTTTATGCCACTGCAGCGTCTTGGTTGCCCGCCGCTCGTCGTCGTCTTCGGCGTCACTTCCTGCTCACCTTCAAGGTACTTTTGTCGGATTTGGATGAAATATTCAACACGTCTTTTTCTATTGGCTGCCGCTGTCGCTTATCAGGTTGCACCGGCGGTTGCCTAGCAACAGGACTCCACGCTGCACTGATGTCACTGGTGATTGGACGCATTTGTTTAGTGTCACTTTCATGCAGGCCTCATGTGCAAGTTGATCATTTTTCACTTCATTTTACCCCCGCCGCCCCCGAAAAAAAGGCTTCTATTTAGTTTTTACACATTTTCATTTTATATTTTAAATAGTTTAAAATAGTGAGGTATAAATATATTTTTTAAAATAATGTTTCATATTTTTTTTATTTTATGAAAAATAAAGTACACAAATTATGTGTGTGCGTGCGTGCATATTTAATTTATTTACATTAAATTTTTGCTTTGTTATTTACATTTAAAAATCGTGTGGTATCATTCTATAAACAAGTGAATGGTAACAACTTTTACTTTGGCTTTACTCCCATCAAGGTCATCGCAGCACTTATACACCGACCATCTCCTCGTGCATCTCCTGATGACGCAGCATCTGGCGCGGTATCTTGCTCAAGGACAGTTGGGAATGGAACCTGCCACCTTGGTTGGAAGAAGACCACGTTGCCCCCAAGTGGTAATACCCCAGTGACGAAAAGAGCAACATTCAATAATTTTAATTAGGTATTTATATATGCCAGTGTCAACATAAATGTTTACAAATGTGTGTTAGAAGAGGTTATTAGAAAGAAACACAATTTGGTTTGTGCTGTTTAAAAAAAACTGTATTCATGTACAAATCAGATATTGTCATTTTCCATACTGACTATAAGATAACGTTTGATCATAGAAAACATTCCTCGAAACTCAACAAGTTTGTTCGTTGTTGCCTTGCGTGGTCTCCTGCACTCTCCGTTGACCTTCATTAACCTCGCTTGACCTCGGCTCTGTTGCAGTTGGGGTCAAAGTTTGACGAATGTTTCAACATCTTGAAGGATTAAAAAAAACGAGGGCCCGACCGATATGAACTTTTTTGGAGGCCAATCCAAGCACTTGATGCACTGAAATAAGGTCTAACACCAATATCTGATATCAGTACTTGCTAGCCCTAATTTGAATAATCAATTAAACCGGAAATTATCTTTTGCAGAAGATTTTGGTGTTTTAGTATTTACAACAGAGGTCATTATCTTGGTGTTATGTTGTGATTTATTAATGTGGGAAAAAAATTTGCCTCCCCACCTCCCCCCCAAAAAATATTTTTGGGGGAGAGGGGGGAGGCGAAGGCAGATTTTTAAAAAAAAGCCTCAAAAAACATCCTTTTTTTTTTTTTTTTGGGTGGCGAAGACAGATAAAAAAAAAAGCCAAAAAAACATCCTTTTTTTTTTGAGTGGGGACAATTTGAAAAGGTCTAATATTAATTAGAATCGGCCGATTCATCGGTCAAGCCCTAATAAAAACACTCACAGTTGACAAAATAAAATAAAACCACAGATGGCAAGTTCCTTCATTAGTTTTTGGTTTTTTTTTAACAATTGACACCTTCAGTCTTTCATTTTCAGTTTTCCAAGTGTTAAACGGGAGGGTTGTCGGTTGTGTGAGGCTAGCTGTTAGCGGATAGTCGCTTGTGGCTAGCTGAGAGCGGTTCGTTGTTAGTAGCTAGCTGTTATCGGCTAGCTAGTAGTGACAAGTCATTAGTGGCTAGCCGTTAACGACTAGTCGTTTGCGGCTAACTACTAGAAGGTCACCCTAACAAAACACCGGCCATTCCATTTCTCTTCAGTCAACGTCTTCCTTTCCCGGAGCCAATCAGTCACGGCGCAGTGTCCCGGCTGTGACATCACTTCCTCCTCCTGCATCTGTAGCAGCAGGCGCAGCGCCCCCCGCTTCCCTCCTCCTCCACTTCCTTCACCAAATACGGCGGCGGAGACACGTAGGGGTTGTGGTCGTTTCCGTTGACTACCGCCGGATTGGCGATCACCGTGGCGCCGTCGGTCGACGTACGCAGGTGGGCACGGGGGATGGTCACCTGACCGTACGGGTTGTCCAGCGACACGCGGATGTTGGACGACATGGCGCCGCCTGGAGATCTGACGGCCAATTAGAAAAGGGAGGAAAAATGTCAGTAATAAACGATACGTCAGCAGAAAATCACAGTTCTTAAGTGTATTGTGCTAAAAAGTTCAATAAAGCTCAAGTGGGTTTCGTACGGGTGTAACGATTCATTCACAACCATAAATTGTGATATGAATGGAATTTTAATGGGATCATAATAACTCCTTGTGTTTATACAATGAATAACAGAAAATTTAAAAAAAAAAGTCTGTTGGCGAGGAGGACCTGGCGTCAGATTTTTTCTTTTTTTGCTTGAAGTATCAGCAGCAGGTATTGGCAGCCTCTTCGAGGACCGATACATTGGAATGAGGCCGGTATCGGCCTAAACACCGATACCTGGTATCGGGACTTGCCATACCTAATTTTAATAATCAATCTGGCAATTACTTTTTTCAGTTCAATTTCAATCAGGATTCAGTTACTGGATTTGTTTAGTCCGAAAATAGTAAAAAATGTTGAACATTGTTTAACATGTTTAAAACATAACAAAATTATATATACATATAGATATAAAATTCTAAAAACTTATTGCGTGTTTCTAATTTAACTTTCTAATGAATTCATTCAAAACAATTAACATAATTAGTATGTTTCTGTGTTTTGAAAGCTCTCCGATGATACCAACTTTTGGAATAAAGGATCAGAGATTAAGAATGTAAAGAATGTTAAAACATTAAAAAAAAAAAAAAAAGTTACGCCTAAAATCTTGATCCCCATTCCCGACTCTCCTCATTTTTACACAAGAAAACAATACCCGGAATATAACAATATGCCCGGAATCTGTAAAAAAATATATATGTCTGGTCATGGTGGACTGAATGCAACTCAGTTAGAATTGGATATTTTATTCCCAATAATCAGAAAGAAGTCTGTTAACGAACAAACAAAAGGATAAACAAACAAACCCAAATGCACTCTAAACCTCAATGAATTGTTGTAACAGTTGCGCCTTGGCCGAGGTCTCTGATTAGTGACCTCCTGGTCCTGAAGCACCATGATACCATTGCTCAAACAACAACTGGGCAAATCTGGCCTCAGATTTGAGCGGGACGTTGTTGTCCAACGGTACGCTTGGTCGAGTCGTGGTGTGACCTCACTTTTCAAAATCATTTGAGAAAAAGACGCGATTTGAAGGAGAAAAATGTGACTTGCCTGTTGAAGCTAACTTGTCTTGAGGACAAAAGTTGAGCTGTGGTCAAAACAATGGAAAACTCACAACTGCTCTCCCTCTCTGTCTTTTTTTTTTCAGCGTGCTTGAAGCTCGCTTGACTGCCCAAACCTGTTCAACTGGATGACACGCCCTCCGGCCCCGCCCCCTTTTGCTCAACAGGTGGAATGTTGACAAAATGAACAATGACAAGGTTCCAGACCACAAAATCATATTTTATGTCCTTTTGTCGGGTTCGCGAGATAATTTAGCTTTGAAATGCCCGCAATGTCATTGTTCAAACTATTTTCAGTTGTTCTTATAGGCGTTTCATTTTTAACTCATGAATATTCAACTATGTAAGTAGCTTTACTCTGATTGGGTGGCTGTTTCTCCTTAATTGGAGATGGGAAATGGTTTTCCTCCGATCGGTAACTGAAAAAATGGCTGCGCCTTGCGCCCACCATGTCGCTTCGTTTGGAAATTCAGTGGGAATTGTACCCCAGCAGCCTGCTTGCTCTGGAGGAAACCCCTTTTTTTTCTAAGCCCACCCAACAACTTTGCAGTCGCCCATTCAGCACCCTGATGTGTGATGAAAGTCTGATGCACTGCTTTTGCAGACCTTTGCCTTTTATCGCCTATGCCAACAATCTGCAATCCCACCAAATTAGCAAAATTACGGTATAAAATTATGTTACAAGGGCTATTTACAATCAAAAGTAATTGTTGCGTTAACCCCATGAGTGTAAAATGGTTAATGAGGCTTTCATTTGACACATCCAATATGGTGGTGATGTCTCCGTATGTATGGGTACAATCATAAATATTGTATTTCAGGTCGTTTGTCAGTGGTTTACGTGCACTATATCTGGAAGTGTCTACGTATTGTACGGCCCTAATACGTCTAAGAGCTTTTTTTTAAAGTTGTGTTTGTTTCTAAAAAGTTTTTGCTCGCGCCTCCAGAGAACGCAAAATGGCGTCTTCCAATCGTGCTTCCTTTTCCGGTGAAAGCCCCTCCCTGTTAGCCTTAGCTGTTAGCTCTCCGGAGGACGGGATTGGGAGAAAGTGGAAAACGGGAGTAGAAAAGTTGGTCCAAGGGCGAAATGAGCGCGGACATGGACCACAGAGAACCGCGGTGACCGGACACCGAGTGTGTCGCTTCCACTAGTCGCCTCTCGGGTGGGTTCGTGGGGCGCAAAAAAGCCAAAAGACGTCGTTAATCCTCGAAGACCCTCCAGTCCCACCCGGGGACTCCACTCGCTCCTCGGTCGCCTTCTCTTCTGTCGCCTGACTTTGGGCTCAATTAATCGATAAAAGAGCGGACATGCCAATCAAGACTTCCGGCGTTCACTGCTCGTGTGCTTTTTGGTTTTTACCTGAGTTTGCCAGCAGCACTTTGGGATGTTTTGTCCGCTCCAATGTTTCTTAGCAAGCTAGCTTCGATTTTTCCGTTCACTTGAATGGGCTACGGCTGCTTTACGTTAGCGTCACTTTGTACACGCACCAAGGGTTTTTCTTGTAATTTGGTTTTGCATGGTTTATAAATTTGTATAACTGAACGTTAGATAACCATTTACACAAACGTAACGTTGACACATATATGAAAAATGACGGGTGTGTTCATGTCCTCAAAACCAGTGGAAGTCAATTCCAAGTACAGCCGAGAAAGTAAAGTAAGTGTGAGTATTGTTTTTGTTGTCGTTCATTTTTTGGTCTCCTGTTCCTCCACAGTGGATCATGCAAACTTTCCTTTGTCGACTTCGCCGTTACGCCGCCTGACACATGATGGGCTTCGGTCGGGATCTGAGGAATTCCCACGAGGGATTACTGAAACTACAGGATTGGGAATTAAAGGTACTCCTTTTGCATTCTCCATTTCCTTCTTGGAAGCAGAAATTAGGTCTGTGATTTCAAAAACAAGTCCAAGCGAAATGTCCGTGAGTGTTCCTGCAGACTGGCATGGAAACAAGTGCGTAAAGAATGTGCAAAGTTTTTGTGTTATATGCATTCAGCCCATCGAAATTTACCGAAACCAACAAAAACAAATCCTTGAGAATACATTTAAGTGTTGAGGGACCCAAGAAGAAAGTATTTCATTAATTGAAAAAAAATCTTCGTCTAGTTAATTGATTGTGTGATTATTGTTCTTTCAAATACAACCTGAAAAAACGCCTTATTGGTCGGGCCCAACATTTTTAAATGATGACCTGATGATCAAAATAGTTGTTAATTTGATAATTGATCATTTATTTTGACATTTCCAAGTCAACGTCATGCTTACTACAGTGCTGAACGCGATTATGGCGGCCCCTACTGGACAAATATTATACCGGCGCCTCACAGGTATATTGGTGTTGCTGCTTTAATAATGGCAACTGAATTTTGTGTGGGTCTGGCAGCTGCTGGAGACTGTGAAGCGTTTCATGACCCTGCGCGTGAAGAGCGACAAGGAGTACGCCGCCCTGCTTCTCAACATGACGCAGCAGATGGAGAAACAGGAAGCGGCCGACTATGTCAGCACCGTCAACAAGGTGAGCGCTGCCACTTGCGTCGCCGTCGCTCCCCGCGTGGCGCGCTTTCTTCTCATGATGGCCGCACTTGCGCGCGTGTTGTGTCAGTCGTGGTCGCAGGTGGTGCGTCAGACGGAGGCGCTTGGTCGCGTCATGAGGGGTCACGCCGACGACCTGAATTCGGGTCCGCTGCACCGCCTTGCCACGCTCATCAGAGACAAGCAGCAGGTGAAGAAGAGCTACCAGAGTCTTCATCAGCAGCTGGAGAGCCACAAGCACAAGGTCTGCTGCTGACGCGCGATGGGCAGACGCGCGCACTGAAACTTACATTTATAGAACTAATTAATTATCACGACGTCCTAACCAGTCGACCACCGTGCCGCCCTTTCTTATTTTTATTATTATTATTATTATTGTCACCATGACCTTGTATTGTCGTTGCTAGGTGACTCGGAGTGACCTGGACAAGCTGAAGTCGACGTATCGCCAGCTGAGCCGCGACGCCAACAACGCCAAGGACAAATACCGAGAAGCTCTCAGCAAAGGTTTGACTCGGGCACCCTTCATGTTGAGAAGTTGTCACAACCGCCCTAAAAACCTTCCCTAACTTTGTGTGCAACGCACCAGGCCGTGAGGCGGAGCGCGCTCACGAACGTTACGACAAAGCCACCGCCAAGCTCCACAACCTGCACAACCAGTACGTGGTGGCCGTGTGCGGAGCGCAGACCACGCAGGAAGAACATCGGCGGCGCGCGGCGCCTGCGCTACTCGACGCCCTCCAAAGGATGCAGGAGGACATGACGCTCGCTCTGTGAGTAACGCGAAGACAAATGTTGACCCAAATATTACTCATAATCACGACCCAATCCATTCAAAAATGGGGAAAAAAATGTGCCATGCTAGTCGTGGGATAAGAAAGCTGAGGGACCATTGCTCATCAATGCCCGCGTCTGTGCAGGAAGAACATTTTGGAAGAGTACTGCGAGATCAGCAGTCTGCTGACTGACGAAGTGGTCAAAGTCCATCAAGAGATTTCTGCGGCGGTCCAGCAGATCGACCCGCTGGTGGAATACCAGCACTTCATCGACGCCTACAGGTCGCCGTGGTGACAGCGGAGGCTTTTTCGGCTTCCGGGTTAATCCGCTGACTTGTTGCATTTGCGTGAAGCAGGTCTCCGGAGAGCCCTGAGGCCAACGTGGAGTTCGACACCTCCCTGCTGGACGAGACAGACAACCTGTCGGCCAATGAGATCCTGTGGAACACGCTGACGGCCGACAGTCTTCAAGCCATGTGAGGACACCCCCCCTGGAGTTCACCTATTGCGCAAATGTACCCCCGAGCAAGCTTCTGTGATTGGTCTCACGGTCATTCCGACTTTCTAACGGCCAATCAAAATGACCACGTTGCGTCACATGATCATTTGCGACGAAAATGGCTATTCCTGCTGCGTAATCAATTGTTCACACCTCCCTAGCCGTGTGGAAAAACGATCTTTTATTTAACTGCCGACTCATAAGCGAATTTTCGCTTCATCTTTTTAGTCCTACCTAGAATCAACTATATAGTCAATTCAAAAAAATCATTCAGAATTTTGTGTATCGTCTCATGCCGTGTGGAAAAACGATCTTTTATTTAACTGCCAACTCATAAGCGAATTTTCGCTTAATCTTTTTAGTCCTACCTAGAATCAACTATGTAGTCGATTCAAAAAAAAATCATTCAGAATTTTGTGTATCGTCTCATGTTCAGGTTGTCGTCAGCCACAGAGGAGTTGGCACTGACTCAGCAGAATCTGAGGACCAAAGAGGCTCTGGTGGACGACCTCGATGCCAAGATCATCAGTAGCCAGCAGAACGCAGACAGGAAGTCCGAGTTGGTGTCGCCCTCTCCGCCTCCGTCTCTCCACCGGCGTCATTTGTCTCTCTGATCCAAGTCTCTCTGTCCATCTGTCCTCAGCTGCGTGCTCCTCCTCAGTCAGAAACTGTCCCTCCTGGAGCTGCGCCAAACCGTCCAGTCCCTGCGCAGCTCCGAGGCTCGCCTCTCCTCCCAGAAAGCCCTGTTGGACGCCAAAATGGCGGACGCCCCGTCTCCGCCTCCCCCGCCACCGCCGCTTGCGATGCCCTACGAGGACGACACTCGCTCCGTCAGCTCCACCGTAAGAACTGTCGGCGGAGGGTTGGGCTGGCGCGAAGCTTTTCAAAATAAAAGCCTGTCCTTCCTGTTTTGTCTTGTCTTTTCAGGATAAAGGCAAGGAGAAGAGCTCTCGCTTGGACACGCTGCGACACTCGCTGGCTGGAATGATCCGCTCGCCTAAAGCCATGTTGGGCTCGTCGTCCTCGGTGAGCCATTTCATCTGTGGCTTTTCCACATTTCTTGACCGATTGACAAATACAACTTAAAAATGGTCATCACATACCTGTTGCCAGACTTTCAGAATAAAAGACCAAAATTAACAATTTGACAGCAGTTCTTTGACGTCATTCCATCGTCGGAGCGCCCTCTGGCAGACCAGGAGTGGTACCACGGTGCCATCCCTCGCACGGAGGCTCAAGAGCTACTTCGGCAGCAGGGTGACTTCCTGGTGAGGGAGAGTCACGGCAAACCGGGCGAATACGTCCTTTCCGTGTTCTCGGACGAGCAGCGGCGACACTTCATCATCCAGTTTGCCGACGTACGTGCCCTAGGACGCACCACAGCACACCGCGCCACTCCTTTGACGTTGGCCACCTCTCTCTTCCGTTAGAATCAGTACCGCTTCGAGGGGACGGGCTTCACCACCATCCCGCAGCTCATCGAGCACCACTTTTCCACCAAGCAGCTCATCACGAAAAAGTCTGGCGTGGTGCTCCTCAACCCCGTTGTCAAGGCAAGCACTTGCAAACGGCTTGATGACGTCGCAGAGGTTTCCTGTCTGTCACGTGTGTGTGTGTGTGTGTTTCCCCTCACGTGTGCAGGACAAAAAGTGGATCCTCAACCACGAGGATGTGGCGCTGGGCGAGCTGCTGGGCAAGGTGAGCTCACTTCCTGTTTGGCAGAGTAAAATTACTATAAGTGATGAATTAAGAAAATATATCATCACCACGACCCTATTTTAATGTAAGGAGACATTTCTTCAAAAACCTAATATTGAGCAATGACGTGGGGAGGGCCCTGTTCATCACGTTGTACTGCCTCCTCTTCCAGGGCAACTTCGGCGAGGTGTTCAAGGGGACGTTGCTGCGAGACAAAACAGCAGTGGCCGTCAAAACCTGCAAAGAAGATTTGCCTCCAGAACTCAAGATCCGCTTCCTTTCGGAGGCCAGGTGGGCATCGCCATAATTGCTCCTAGTTGGTGGGGAGGCAACTCAGTGTTTCCGAATGATTTATTTACATATAACATACAGTATTCCAGAGAAAATGACCCTTTTAAAATAAAGGGCAATTTTGACCGATACAAATAAAATGAACCTTGAAAAAAGGTGGCGTCCCTACTGTATTTCCAACCCCAAATTATTTTGCAAATCAGATCAAATGAGTGTAGATTATAAAAGAAAAAATACTGAGGCCCGAGTTTGAATTTGGGGAATTCCTAATTTATCCTCCTAGTTTAATTTTGCAGGCATAATGTGCTGAGCATACACGTGTGTGTGTTCAGGATCCTGAAACAGTACGATCACCCCAACATCGTGAAACTGATCGGCGTGTGCACTCAGAGGCAGCCCATCTACATCGTCATGGAGCTGGTTTCCGGTAAGCGTGCGCCGCATGCGCCCCTCTGTCGACTCCCGTCGTTCCTGAGCCTGGCTCGTGTCTGTCCGACCCGTTAGGCGGCGACTTCCTGTCCTTCCTGAGGAAGAAGAAAGACGAGCTGAAGACCAAGCAGCTGCTGCGCTTCGCCGTGGACGCGGCCGCGGGCATGGCCTACTTGGAGAGCAAGAACTGCATCCACAGGTGAGTTGCTGCGAGGACCTACGCGGGTCGCCGCGGGCTCGTGCTCACGCTTGCGTGCACGTGTGTGTCAGGGACCTGGCAGCCAGGAACTGCCTGGTGGGAGAAGGCAGCTTGTTGAAGATTAGCGATTTCGGCATGAGTCGTCAGGAAGACGACGGCGTTTATTCGTCGTCCGGACTCAAGCAGATTCCCATTAAGTGGACCGCTCCGGAAGCTCTCAACTACGGTAAGGATGAATAAAATGCCTGCTGTCACAGTCATTGAAATCTCCAAAAGAGACACACATTGCATATTTAAGTACACAACACACTTTTAAAACCACAAAATGGATAACAAAAATCTACGATACAGCGGGACCGTCAAAACCGAACGGAATATACAGTAGCAGTGGTGGTTTGTCGTATGTGTTGTTTCAATGTGCTGTATCTGTGTTTTGCTTTTTGTCACGTTCCTTTTTGGGCTTTCTTTTAAAATGATGCAACAATGGAATTGTATCTTGGAATTAAAAAAAAAAAAAAAAAAAGATTTAAGTGACTTATTTTTATATTTTAATTTGTTTAAAAAAAAAAAGTGTTCTGAGCTTGAGTACATAACAAATGCGAGTGGCAAATCAAGGCACTCCTTTCACCGAACAGGTCGATACACGTCTGAGAGCGACGTGTGGAGTTACGGCATCCTGCTGTGGGAAACCTTCAGTCTGGGGGTGTGTCCTTACCCGGGGATGACCAATCAGCAGGCCCGTGAGCAGGTGGAGAAAGGTAAGCGCGCCCAGCCACGCCCGCATGCACGCCAACCGGTGACGCTGTGGTTGCTAGGTTACCGGATGGCATGTCCTCAGCGTTGCCCGGATGACGTGTACAAGGTGATGCAGCGCTGCTGGCAGTACAGCCCGGAGGAGCGACCCAAATTCGCAGAACTGCAGCGAGACCTCGCCGTCATCAAAAAGAAGTGACGGGGGAAGTGTGGTCTGTTTTTTTTTTTTTTTTGCCAAGGCATTTGAACACTAAAAACGTGTCTCTCGGCTACTCATCCACAAAAGGGCGTTGGCGTCGCTCGCTGCCTTAGCTCAGCGTCAGCAAACGTAAAAACCGGCGGTCAAACAGGAAATGTGCATGCTTGCATCACTAATTAAAAAAAAAAAGAACCAGTATGTTATTCCCACATGAAACACATTGATTTCACGTCTAATCCCGTAACCATAGTAACCGGACTAATATCCTTATATATGTACATTATAGCTTGACTTTTTATTTGTATTTATACTTTTTATTTCTCAGCAAATCCAGCATCTTAAAAGAAAAACTTTTTTCTTTTTTTTTTTAGACAATCAGTAACAATGTTATTTATTTGTGGAACGATAAGATGCGCCTGCGCGAGTGGAGTTTATCTTTAGCCCCACTCGCTGGTTCCTTTTTGTACATAAATCACATTGATAGTACCATTGATGAAACCCTTTATAAGACAGTTGATGCATTTATAATGAAAATAAAACACCAGACAACATTTTCGTGTCATGACTGTGGAATTTACTGCTTGGTTTTGAACGATGGAAGACAACCCCCAAAAGTAATCTATTTAAAAAAAAAAAATCTAATTCATTGCCAGGCCCTGCTAATACAAAATGATTCCATCATCTTTACACACATGAATTAAGTTAATTTATTAAAATTGTAAACTTCCAAATAGTGTGGGCAAGGTGGTGGGTTTGGGGTGTGGCTTGTAGCCGATTCGCTCGTTAATAAGCTCCGCCCTTGACGCAGTGGTTGAACATGAGGGTAGAGTTTCTCCCCCAATCACTTCGCTGCCGACCACAGAGTCTCCACCCACTCCACCTCCCGACTCCGCTTCTTCTCGTTGACGTTTCCGTGCCTGAAAGAAAACAAGAGCCAGGAAATATAAATCTTGTACCGGTATTTTACCCAATGACAGCCAGATGTTAACTTGAAAAATAACCTCAAGCTCCTTTTTGATGCTCTCAAATTCATCGGTGTCATCGATCTTCAGCTCCAGACGAGTAGGTTTCCTCCTCAACATCTTCTCTTGGACACATTCACTGAGAGGCTGAAAAACAATTCCGCACACACACACAAATTCTGCACAAGCTGAAAAGTATACCCCCCCCAAAAAAAAAAATAAAATTTGTTACAGTGACCTTCCTTTTCCAACAATCGATTTAATTGACAAAAACTATGGTCATGTTTAGATACCTTGTTTAACTTGAAATTGTCAAAATCCTCAGAATTTCACCCTCACACTGACTATCCTTGCAATATGTGCAAGCGTCTTTTACTTTGGGGAAACATTTTTTGCCTGCTTTCTGACATGTTACCAAAACAATAAGTGAATCATTATTTACCTTTGTTCGTTTCCTAAAACTGTAAAGTTGAAATTGCTTCCTGTTTTTACGAGGGGGTGGGTGGGTTGTTTTTTTACATATCCTATTCGATTAATCAGAAAAGTAATCAATTATCAAGTTTCAGCCTCGGTTTTTATCCACTAATTATCATTCATAGAGTGAAAATTCAGAGGATTTATCTGTTAGGCTGAATACATTTGTGTACGTTACCCTTACGTTATATATTTTATGTATATTGCGCTTATTCACGTGTAGTCTAATCTTGATGCTTGTCATTTAGCCCGGAAAGAAACGCATTGAAATGGATATTGGCAGTATTTTCTGCAGTCTTTACTGAACTTTATTTTTAGTCCTCGATTATTTGAGTAACCTACCGTCAACCGATTTGTTGACTTGGTAAGTGGCTGATATTGTAATGCTTTGAACGAACGCGCATTTTGTAGCGTTTAAGTGTGCATTCAACATTCAACAAGAATCTAATGCTAAAAGCTATGCGACTAAAAAGACGGCGATCAATGTTTCTATGGAGGACCTCACCTTAGATGCCAACAAAAACGCAAACATTTACCTGCCAGCTGATTTCAAGTTGCGTTATGTGCTCTTCGGAATTAGTTTTGTCGTCTTTTGACTGTTCTGTGGTGCGAAATGTAGTTTTTCCGGGGCGTCACAGAGTGGACAGGAAATACAACCCCTGAACCCGGAAAGCGTCATGTACATCCGGGTTGTTTTACATCCGGGTCGTTTCCCCATTCAAACATCGCCGAATTGCTATTGTACTAGTGTGAGTTTTATAACTTTTAAATCTTCATTATAGCGATTACCGTCCATTATTTTAGTGGCTACAAGCCCAAAGAAAGGTAACGTGTGGCAAAGTGATAATGTTTTGCTACCTGGACGCTCGTTTGTGATTAAAAACGCTAGCCGCGAATAGTAGCGGCGGCACGTTTGATTTGTAGACTCGCGTTTCATCATTGCCATCATTATTGTTCTAAAAATATATGATTCTTGTTATTGTTGGGTTTTTTTTTTAGGATTATACACCCGGTGGTCCTCGGTTTACGTTTGAGTTACGTTCCTGCGGCGGCGGCTACAAAACGGATGCGTTTATAGTTAAACGCGAGCCAAATTTGCACTGAGGAGTTTTATTCATGGCATACAAAACTAAAACAATTCAATGATCAACGGTAAATACCGCACTGACCGAGTGTAGCTTCGCGACCAGCAAATTGCTTCATTTCGTCGTATGTCGATACCTTCTCAGGGCTCCTTGTTATGTTTTCATGGTCAAAAAATATCCATCACAAACAAATGATCCCATGGCTTTAATATGACTCGTTTGTGACAGGTTATGTATCCATCTATGTGATTATCATCACGGGTGTCATTTTATATCCTTTCACGACAATTTTACAGAATAATTAACATAAAATAACAAAAATACAACAGAACACACTGTGAAGTGTGCACCTGTTAGCCCTGGTTGTACAAATCCATTTATTGTGAAGTGCTTCCTGTTGGCCCAGGTACCAGGATGTCAGACGACGAGGACTTGGCTCCGGCCCCAAAGAAAGGTCGCGTGTTCTATGGAAGCCTTGAAGAAAAAGAGCGCGAGCGCCTCAACGCAGAGATTGCCGGCGGCCTGCCCCTAGGAAGTGATGGCGTCAAGGCGGGAATCGAAGCAGGAAACATAAACATCTCGTCTTGTGGGTGACACATTTTTGAAGACAGGCTCCGCATCGCGCCCGCCACCTGACCAATGTCCCACTGTGCTTTGCAGCCGAGACACTGGAGCTGGAAGAGCACAGC